GTTGTTTACAAACTGATAAAAAAATAAAAACACTTTAAATTAAATATAATATTTTTGTTAGATACATGCCGCCAAAATCTCTTTTACTTTACTGTAGGCTATACCAAAAGCCTCAATAAGCCTAAAGTGTACTTCTAATTTATTACTTTAACAATTAAACTAATCAAGAGCAAAATAAAAAAAAATGTGTGTGTATATATTACATGATATAAATGTTGCATATTTTGACCAGTTTTAAAATTGTATTAAATTTCTGTTCCTGAAATTCACCCGTCTGCTGGGAATGGGATCAGTAAAATCCTGGAAACCCTTTTTGGATCAAAGGTATCCCAATCTTGCTAAAAAGTTTCGAACAACACAAACTGATGATTTGATCCAGATCAAAACTAAGAATTGATTTTGTGATCTAATCTGATTTCAGAATTTGATTTTTCAAGTCGTTTTCAAGATTTGATCCTCCGATAGCCGAAATCCGATTAGATTACTTTTCAACAACTATCCCAGATGATACCATTACATTCTGCAATTAGATTGTTCCTGACAAAAAAATATGATTGAATTCATTATAATAATAAATGATCATGACAGCATAAAATTGAAAGAAATCACACAACTTATTCGAAAACATAATGACAAACCGCTGCATTTAAATAAATGGTTTAAAAAGAAGAACTGGCAGGGTTTCTATCAGTGAATCGATTTCTACAGTATATGAACATACGAACCGAATCACTAAAACGAATCACACTTCCTAACACTACATTTGAGAAGACAGCGCCTGTTTGATTGCTTCAGCTTGTAAAAAAAAAAAAAAAAAAGATTAAAAATACAATTGTTGAGCAAGTAGCTTATGGCAAAAGCTACACTATTGTTGTTCATCCATACATCCATCCGTCTGTCTGTATACCTCTTTGTTCCTTGCGTGCCAAATACTAAGCAACTATACTTGGAGTTAATTGCTTCCATACAATAAAAACACCTACATGAAATGACTGCTCCCTAAAACAGGCCGAGTGGAGACCCGTCTCTGAGTAACTACACGGATAAACAAACAATCAGGCACAGTCATCATCTTATGGGCAAATCTGGACTGAGGTTTCTGTGCTTTTGTTGTACTTAAGTGTGTTGAGTGCCCAGCATGTGAAAATTAGTGCAAGTGATTATCCAGTTTGGCTGCTAGTGCCATAAATGTCATTCACACACTGAACTGTGTAAATGCAGAGCCCCCCAGTGGCAGGAATGGTTTAATGCATATAATGAATATTTTTATTTTTTAACATACTAATAATGAATAAAATATAATGCAATGCATATACATGGACAGTTTGGTCTTGTGATAACAAATATCAAACGTTTTTTCCAACGAGTTTTATTATCTTTATACACTTTTCTTAAAGCACTTTTGCACAAATCCACCAAATAATTGAGTTGCGGAAAAATCTCCGCTCCACTTATGAGTTGCAGTGATGGTAAAATCAGATAAACGGCTGGGTTGCAGTCTCAGCAGAGCACAGAGAAACCAGGATGGATAGGATGCGAGAAAGATACATCATTCACCTGTGCATTAAAAATCATCTTTCAGCACCACATGCTGTCACCATTCTGAACAGGCTTTTCCCGAACTTTCCAGAGACTCCCACTGAGATCCATCCGTCACACATCATTCTCCACAGGATAATCAACGCACGGGATGCGCACTGCAAACACATCTGTCCACACTTGTGCAAAGTGACAACGGATCAATCACATATGCAGCCAGGTTTTGATTGCTGGCCCCAAAAGCAAGTCTTCCTTCAAGGATTTCATTGTATCCTCAAGCTGTGCAAACTCAGCATTCACAACCTTAACTTTTGCAAGTCAAGATTCAGACGTGTGCACACTGCACATCAATCAACAAACGGGAAACCCAAACATCTCCAAGTTTTACAAATAAACAGCCGAGGGAATGCGGTTACTAATCCTAGCGCTAAGGGTGTGATGAGTCAGCTTCGCCTTACACCCCGTGACATTTCCACGCTACATAAATGAATGATTCACCCGTCCAGTTGCTGTGGTGAATATTCCTCTTTCCCACACGCCGATTTGATGTCACTATCCACTTTTAGAGGCCCATGATTTGAAACGCCGCCACTTCTCAGACACTCCCGGCCGGTGTTGTGCATGCGTTTCCATGGCTCTGCTGTAATGGTTCACAGGGGGAGTCGGTTCTTGGATGGGGGCTAACTGTAAACGTGTTGTGGTTTTGGAGGTCCGAGCAACATTTCTTGCATTTCATCCGCTGGAGGCAATTGCCGGCGAGGCCAGTACTGAGTGAGGGCTCGGATCAGCAACATAAGGCCTGCCATTTTTCCAGAATCACACAACAGCTGAGTTACTTAAGGTTTTCATGAAGGATGAGGACAGAGAGTTGGCTCATAAGATATCCCAAGGAAGCTGCCTCACCATTTCCACATAACAGTGGCTTCTCCTCTCGAGAAGTGGGAGATTCCCTCTTTCTCCATCTGTAGGGGCTGAGCTCAAAAAGACACACATCACAGGCATTGAACACTCAAAGGTTAAGTCACTTGTTCCATGGCAGGATTACCTTATACGCCCGGTACTGGCACAAGATGTTTTATTGATGCCATTTGCTGAGTGTCTTCTGGACAACATTTAAAAAGAGTTGGCAGAGAGGATAGGATAGAGAGTGTGAAGATAAAGAGGTGTCTGAGGAAAACTTGTCTGCTCCTTGACCTTGAATTTCCAGTCCATCTCAGGATCAGGAGTAATTGAAACCGAGGGAAGTTCTGCAATTGCTTTACTTTTTCCACAGTCACGGTCAAACCAGTATTGCATAACCTTGGCTTGGTGAGATGGCACTGAGAACCAGGTTGTGTTTAGCATGCATCACCATAAAGTAAGAGGAAGTGAGAGTTTGTTTTTGTACAATTCCCAAAATTGAGTGTGTGCAATCAAGGGGACCTTCCTTAAAGGGGAAATCTGGGTTCTTTTGGGGGATTCCATCACCATTGTGCCCTTTAACAAGGCAACCACAAGTTGCTCCAGTCAAACTGACCCTGCAATAAATGTGATCAAAGTTGCTTTAGATAAGGTGTATCAAAGCCTGCTCCAAGAGGACCACCTTCATCTACAGTTTAGCTCCAAACCTGATCAAAGGGCTTCAGGATTACTTGAAAATTACGGTAAGGTGTAGGGGTGTAACGTTTCAAATTCCTCATGGTTCGGTTTTCATCACGGTTTCAGTACGGTTTGGTATGTGCTTAGCCTGGGAAAACCAGACGAACTTCTGGGAAAAATGTGAGATTTGCTCTGCAAGTCAGTCTGGCCAAGAGCCCATTCAAGCCCATTTCCAATTTTTCCAAATCGACAAAAGCTGATTAGGCTGTAGTATTTACAATATCTGGGAACATTATAGGTTGAAACCCTGCAAGGGATGATCCATGAACTATCGACATTGTGCCCTGGTGCAAAGAACCCAAAGTTTAGGTCGTTTTGTAGAAACAGTGGATGCAAATTCTTGTCCACTTGGCAGGAAACTATTGCCAAGAATTACCACTGCCGACAGTTAAAACAATAGTGCCATGGTGTCTTCAGATAATGGTTGTAGTCTACATGCCTATCACTATTATCTTTCAAAAATACAATTTACTAACCTGCGGACAATCTATGGTTGTGCCGCCTACGGTTAAGACTGCTTCAAACTAAGACTTTGGACTTATCGCACTGGGAAAAGCATCAGCTAAATGACAAACTGGTTAATAGCCACCTCCTTCAGTTGTCATTGAGTAAGATTTTGGCAGACGCCTAACACGTCTGGCCAAAGACGCAAATGTTATCTTAAAGACCTGAACATAATGTTGAGGTTAATCTGACAAAGAATCAAAGAAACTAAAAGAGAAATTGAAAATAAGCCTACAAAAAACTGCTTAATGAAAGCCAATTAAAACTTGGAACCTTCACTTGCAAATAAAATTAGCTCTAATCCAACCTTAAAGCATTTGATGTTACTTGTACATGTAATTTTTGGTGTGGACAAAATTTATTTACAGTTAAATCAAATCATTGTGCACTATTCTTTATTCGAAAAATAGAACTTGTGCTGTGACCACCATGAAAATCATAGTGGAAATCAATCAAATTAAAAATATACATAAATAGAACAAATCTGTTGTGGTAATGGACGTTAACATTCAGAATAAATGCATTTAATACACTTGTGTGTGTGGCAAGTGTTTTACAAAAGTAGAAAAGTTTACCACTGCAGGAGAGTCACTAAACACAAAACACATTCCTAAAGTTGAAATCAATTATGTATAACAATCACAAATGAAATGAGCCACAAGGGCCAAAAACGTTAAATGTTAAAGTTGCAAATATAAATATGGAACTACTCTTTTCTGTATTCATTAAAATAGTATAGCTATTGCGAAACGTTCTCTCTTCAGTCAGTCCGTGTATCAAGACAATTATGTCTCACATTGCAAATAAAAACGAAGAGTAAGAATCAAAGTAAAGGCACTGACAAATGAAAAACCATACAGGCTTTCCATTGCAAAAGAGAGGAACAAACATGATGCCCGGACGTATAGTTGTGTTATCTGGTGTGGTCACGTGACATGATACTGTATGCGTCACTAACGTGTTTATAAATATGGCCTTGACATTGCAGTAATAAATCAGCCCATTGGTAAAAACAGTAAACATAATCACAAATACATTGCTTTTCTACATTAGATCACAATCTGTCCATCCATCATTGTGACGGTTGCTCACTTCTCCACAAATGATTAAAATCAAATCTTTAGTCCATTTACTTTCTCCGCAAACTATCTTCCTGCAAAGTCCACCATGGCAGAAGAGGACATCTTCTTGCGTTCAAGAAAAAAGGCAAGTGTCTGTTGAGAAAATACAATATCTATTGGTGCAGTGTCAAGGAAAAAAAGGTTTTAAGGCTGTCAAATCTTTTTAAAAAAGAAGAATTTGAAGTACAGTACCTTGGGTTGCAACTCTAATTACAAGAGCTCTCTCGTCTGGCATCAAGCGCCCTATAATGAAGACATACAACATAAAAAGTACAAAAATGAACACAAAGCAATACAACTTATTCATTAGAGTGACAGTTGTTCCTGCTTGAGGAAAGCAGTCTGTTTTAATGTGACACTGAACATCAGTACGTCAACTATCATTGTCTTGACTGACGGCTTGAAATGAACTCCGAACTGAAGCTTTTCTGCCAGGGTTGAGTGTAAGAACCAAAGAATGTTCATGGTTTGCTTTCAGACATGTGTTGACATATGTCATATGTCATCTATTTTACATTTATGTATGTGTATACTTGTGTAAGTCTGGTTTATCAAACTCTGTTCCAAAACCTAGTAAGCTGCCCTTCTGTCTACTGACTCAGCCTGTTCTCACGTAAATGCGTCTCTATAGCACGCATTGTGTATTATCGTGCAATTTATACGCGAAAATGATTTTTTACGTGCATGTGATACGCAGTTTTCGCGTGCATTTGATACGCAGTTCATTTGCGTGTAATACACACGCACCCCACACCACTAATTCCACCCAAACGTATAATACACACCCCTAGGGGTGTAACGGTAGATGTATTCGTATTGAACCGTTTCGGTTCGAGGCTTCCGGTTCGGTGCGCATACAAACCGAACGATTCCTTGGACCATTTTTTCCTGCCGACAAACTTCGCACTGGCGCGATCACCACAACGTTGCGCAACATCAAATGGCAAGCGTAATGAAAGCGGAACGAAACTGCGCTTCTCATTATTGTGCTTCACGGACCGTTTATAAGTTCGGACCAGCAACATCTGTGCAGCGCGAACCGATCTCAATCAAGTGACACTATAACTACACAGCGCTAAGAGATCCAGTGAAGAAAACATTTGAATTCGCCACTGAAGTAATAACATCGCTGCGAGATCTAGTGAGAAGCATTCACATTTCTCCGTTATTAACCATAGATCTCTATTAGATCAAACAGCGCTGACGTGGACACCAGGAGAAATATTGTGCCGTGAATGAACTTGTAAAGCTTTACGTCCACAGACCAGCAACATTCACCATGGATTTAATATAGTAACACTAACTGTAACCAGTTTGGCTGGAATAGTGAAATGCTTTCAAGTACTTCACACATCTTTTTCCAGCACTTCAAAACTCAAATATTATATAAATAAATATATGAAGAGTTCAGATCCAAAAGCCTCTAAATGCCATTTGAAATTTTCTTCTAGAATGATCATTTTTATGAAGCTTGTATATTTAAGTTCAGTAATTTCACTCAAATGACAATTAATAGGTAATCTTCATTGCCATTTAAGTGAAATTACTGAACTTAAATATACAAGCTTGATAAAAATGATCATTCTAGAAGAAAATTTCAAATGGCTTTTGCATCTAAACTCTTCATATATTTAAATGTTATTTTTAATGTGATGACCAAAACATTATTTGTTCATCCTTCAAAGATGACACCCATTTATAGACCTGAAAGTTTCAAGATGTAGGAAAACTCACACTTATTTAAAAAATATTTTTTCTTTTAACAGATAGGAAATTCTCTGGCATTTCTTACTTTTTGCTGTATCGAAAACGTACCGAACCGTGACTTTAAAACCGAGGTACGTACCGAACCGTGATTTTTGTGTACCGTTACACCCCTACACACCCCACACCACGACTAAACCTACCCTAACCAACCCATGCGTATCCTATGCACGTAAAAACTCATTTTCGCGTATAAATTACACGATAAACACACTGCGTGCTATTTAGTGTGATCGGGTTGACTGACTAAATAGGCAGTGTAAGTAAATGGAACCGTTCCAAATAGGTAGTTCCAAATGGAACCTTCTAATTGCCAATTTTGAATGTTCCGCAAGTGAAGCACACAGACGACTTACAATCAGGTGTTCCAACGCTATCTCACGACCAATTCGTCCGAATTTGACGAGTGATTCAAAGATGGCTAATTCGTACGAATTCGTACGACCTCATTCGTACGACCTCATTCGTACGAATTTGTACGATTTGTCTAACCCAAGTGATGGGTAGGTTTAGGGGCGGGGTCAGGGGTAGGTCATTCGTACGAATTCATACGAATTGGGCAACTCGTCAAATATGTACGTTTTAGCAAAAATCGTACTAATTCGTACGAGTGAGGTCGTACGAATTGTTACGAATTAGCCATCTTTTAATCACTCGTCAAATTCGGACGAATTGGTCGTGAGATCGGGTTGGGTGTTCACATGACGCTAGCTTAGAAATACATAGCACACACAAATACGGAGTAAAGTAGTACTTTTTCAAAAAAATTTAGTAGGCCTACTTTTTCAAACTATTTTTAATGATGTTTTTATGGTACTGAATGAATTATGGCAATAAGAACGCTGCACATTTAAGTTGCCTCCTGTTTAGAATAGCCCTCACATTGAGAAGTCGCCTACAAAGACCTAAAATGCCTCCCTCCTACGTAGGAAGCTTACTAGGTTTTGGAACATAGCCTACATAGAGTGTGTGTGGCCTGGCTCCAAACTACAGTGAGCGATCTGCCCTGTGCTTGCAGCTGGTATGACAGTTAACCATTACTCAACCCCAGCGTTCATTTTTCAGTCTGGTACACTCCACCTGTCTGGAACTCTATACGGCACCTGGCACAGGTAGAACACCCACGGAACGGGCCTGCTGTCTGGATTTGTCTTGCCATGCCATTGTAGCTCAGAACATTGAGCTCTTTTGAAGACGTATTAAGTACCAGTGCACAAAGAGTTCAATTCATTTTCAGAAACGGACTGTCTCGAAAAAAGACAAAAGAAAAGAAACAAATCTCTGCTTTTCAAAGGCATGAAAACAATTTTTTAGTTTAGTTTTAAATGCTGCTTTTGGGTCCGAGCAGTGGCACCAGTTCTGAGTCTTTAAAACTCCCTTAATACATTTTTAATATCATATGATTGTGTAAATAACATTTTTGTCACTTTTCAGGACTATGTGATACTGTATGTTTTTATAATAATTTAGAATTCTCTTCAGCAGGGGTCGGCAATCTTGTGGACAAGATGTGCCATTTGGAATTTTTCTTTTAATTACAGTTTTAGAGTTTAGTTCCAAAACCCATGCCTGTAATTTTCAAACCATCCTAGATAGATAGATAGATAGATAGATAGATAGATAGATGGATAGATGGATAGATGGATAGATGGATAGATGGATAGATGGATAGATGGATAGATGGATAGATGGATAGATGGATAGATGGATAGATGGATAGATGGATAGATAGATAGATAGATAGATAGATAGATAGATAGATAGATAGATAGATAGATGGATAGATGGATAGATGGATGGATGGATGGATGGATGGATATATTTTAGATTTGAACTTTTCAAACTTTGTTTCTTAATAAAAATAACTGAACTATTTTTACCCAATATTCCTGGTCTATAAAAAATAATTCTTTTAGCAAAATGTATCAATAACATCAGACCAATCTGCACCTTCCAGCTTAAGCGCAGTGCTTTCATTCCATCACACTTGTGTTTGGCTTCCAATATAACTGGATAAAACAGGCATGCAGAAGCAAATTACCCATTTTTTGTAAATAAACAACTTTAATATTAATATCTATATATAATATGAATCTCTCTTGCTATATTTGCTAGCATGCCAGCGGTTCCCCCTCCAGCACTGGCACGCGTGCCTAAGGTTGCCAACCCCTGTTCTATAGAATTTACTGCTTTATGTTTATATGCTGCTGAGGTCATGCTTTACTGAAGGACAAGGGAAGTTCGCCTTCCAGTAAGTGATGCATTTACTAATTTTGCAGTCTGTTATTTGGCTCGTGACTGATCATAAAAGTGCATGTTAAAGAAAAGTTCTGGGTTCAAAACAAGTTAACGCAGCATATGTGATATGCAGTCGATTACCACACAAAGTCATACTGACTTGTTCCTCAGTTTTGAAAACAAACAAAAATTGTGTTCATAGTAACGCACTTACAATGGAAGTCTATGGGGCAAGATATTCCAGTGGATCCGAGGAATGTGCAGCTCGTATTGTTGTTAAAATGGAATTCTTCCATACAGAAATATGTTAATGAAAATGTAAATTGTATAATTCTGTGCAAATGTCTTGCCCTATAGATATACACTCACCGGCCACTTTATTAGGTACCCCATGCTAGTAACGGGTTGGACCCCCTTTTGCCTTCAGAACTGCCTCAATTCTTCGTGGCATAGATTCAACAAGGTGCTGGAAGCATTCCTCAGGGAGTTTGGTCCATATTGACATGATGGCATCACACAGTTGCCGCAGATTTGTCGGCTGCACATCCATGATGCGAATCTCCCGTTCCACCACATCCCAAAGATGCTCTATTGGGTTGAGATCTGGTGACTGTGGAGGCCATTTTAGTACAGTGAACTCATTGTCATGTTCAAGAAACCAATTTGAAATGATTAGAGCTTTGTGACATGGTGGAAGTAGCCATCAGAGGATGGGTACATGGTGGCCATAAAGGGATGGACATGGTCAGAAACAATGCTCAGGTAGGCCGTGGCATTTAAACGATGCCCAATTGGCACTAAGGGGCCTAAAGTGTGCCAGGAAAACATCCCCCACACCATTACACCACCACCACCAGCCTGCACAGTGGTAACAAGGCATGATGGTTCCATGTTCTCATTCTGTTTACGCCAAATTCTGACTCTAACATCTGAATGTCTCAACAGAAATCGAGACTCATCAGACCAGGCAACATTTTTCCAGTCTTCAACTGTTCAATTTTGGTGAGCTCTTGCAAATTGTAGCCTCTTTTTCCTATTTTTAGTGGAGATGAGTGGTACCCAGAGGAGTCTTCTGCTGTTGTAGCCCATCCGCCTCAAGGTTGTGCGTGTTGTGGCTTCACAAATGCTTTGCTGCATACCTCGGTTGTAACGAGTGGTTATTTCAGTCACTGTTGCCCTTCTATCAGCTCGAACCAGTCTGGCCATTCTCCTCTGACCTCTGGCATCAACAAGGCATTTCCGCCCACAGAACTGCCGCTCACTGGATGTTTTTTCTTTTTCGGACCATTCTCTGTAAACCCTAGAGATGGTTGTGCGTGAAAATCCCAGTAGATTAGCAGTTTCTGAAATACTCAGACCAGCCCTTCTGGCACCAACAATCATGCCACGTTCAAAGTCACTCAAATCAACTTTCTTCCCCATACTGATGCTCGGTTTGAACTGCAGGAGATTGTCTTGACCATGTCTACATGCACTGAGTTGCCGCCATGTGATTGGCTGCTTAGAAATTAAGTGTTAACGAGCAGTTGGATAGGTGTACCTAATAAAGTGGCCGGTGAGTGTACACTGCGACTGTAAATGCATATTTTGCTCATTTATACAAACTGAAGGACGAGCCAAAATATTTTCTGTGGTCATCGGCAATATTTCACAGATGCTTTCCGTTGAGCTTACGTTATATGGAAACCAGAACATTCTGATGGTGCACGTGTATCACGCGTTTGTGTTTGAACAAACACTTACCCTTGATGCTGTTGGAGAAAATTAGCAAACTGGCGGTCCTTGGCATACAGCTCGATAATTCGAATACGGTCCTGGATTTCCTGTCATGAGAGCGGGAAGGTGACAGAGAGGGAAAAGAAGATAGACGGTTATGTAACAACATGAGTTGACCTCTCCGCGCCAGTCCTTTTACTTAGACGTCTAGACCACTTTAAACCAAGAGCAAAGGTGAGACAGAATCTCATGAAGGGCTTCCTCAATTACAGGCACTTTTACGTCCCAGCTATTTATTTATATTCAAACTAATTTATTTTGCTGACATCACATCTTGGAAACTTTTTGAAAGCATTCAAAATTTATTTTTGGCAAATATCAGAACATTTTACTTATACATTTTAATTATTTACTCTTGTTCCATACTTCCAATCTTAAAATATGAAAGCCAATCATAAAGATATTGTTAAATTTTTACAAATAACTAATGAATACAAATTCATATGAAATAGTCACCTCGTTAAAACAGTTAGATTTTCTTATCAATTCAAATCATAATCGATTCAATTCAATTCATTTGAGCTTTTATTAGCTTACTTTTGACAAAACTTTTGCTGCAACTGTGTTTCGCATGACTTTTTGTTGTCTTTTTATGTCGGAAAGATCTATTTTAAATTATTCGTCAACTTGATCAACAACCAGATACAATATAACACATGTGAGTTATATAACCATCCTATTTCTTCATTTTTCCAGACTTTCAATCTTAAAATGTGAAACTCCATCATAAAACTATTTTTACATTTGACAAAAATGTTTGTACGAATTCATATGAAATCGCCACCTCGTAAAATAGTCACGTTTTCTTATCAATTCCATTCATAATCAATTCAATTTATTAGCTTAGTTTTTAAAAACCTTTTCAGCATTGCTGTTTCGCATGAATTTTTGTTGACTTTTTATGTCGAAAAGATTTATTTTGAATTATTCCTCAACTGAACGATCAGCAAGCAGATTCAATATAACACATCATGTGAGCTGTACTTCCACCCCATCCCTTCATTTTTTAGAGTTTCAATCCTAAAATATGAAACTCCATCATACAAATATTGTTATATTTTACATTATTTTTGTATAACTATGATAATAAAAAAAACAAGTCAAAGTCTTGCACCCATTAACGCTCCACTAAATGTTTTATGGTTAAACTGAACTGCAGGTGTTAGTGAATAAAAGACATTTTCCCTCTAAAACTGTTTAGTGCCTCCAGTTCTGACTGTTACATAAGAAATATGATTTATCTACCCATCAAGTATTGTTTTCCAAAGAAGACATGCTTGACCATTCTCCATTGTTCAATGCTGCCAGGATATTCTCCATTGTGAATATATCAGTCACGCAGTCTATGACAGTTTCATTGCTACAGGAACAGAGCTTTAGTTGAAGGACATGGAGTGTTTTTAGGAATGTTTTTGAGGAATATTCAATGCAAACATGTAAAACTTAAGTAATTCTGCAGACCACTTGCATAAACACACACAGGTGTGTACACAATGCGTACCATGAGCGCCTGCTTATTAGTGTATTTATCAACAGACTCTTATGGTAATTCGTAACTATTTTATTTTAATTTAAAAAAAATTATGTTAATTTGTACAATCTCATTCGTACGATCTACGTACACCCCATTGATGGTTATGTTTAGGGGTGGACCCCTAAACATAACCAGAAAAAAAAGTCTAGATGCAAAAGAGAGATAAATTCATTGGTTTAATAAATAAACAAATAAATACATAAATAATTGTATACTATTTATAATACTAATCATCATAATAGCATTATTATTAGTGGTTTTGGCTCTCATTTTGATTTATTATGGTTGTGTGAGTGATTTTTGCAGCTTTAAACCGACTGGTCCCATGGTCATTTTTAGTGCATGTTTTTAGTCAGGTCTAGTTTGTCACAATATTTACATGTTTTATATATATTTCGTATCAAATTCAGTCACGGTTATCGTAGTGTAAGTGGTTATCGTAGAGTAAGTGTCCAAATATTTCTTGGGGGCGTTGCATGTTAACTAGAGCCGATGGATATATAAAAAAAAAATGGGCATATCACCATATCAGCATAATGATGTATCGGATATAAAATGTTCAAGACAGCTTGTGAGAGGAACAACTTGTTCGAAAAAGATAATTGATCCAACCTGCACATCACTTGCCTAAGAGCATTTGTTTTGTAATCACCAAAGAGAACACATTCTGTGTTACGGCCTATTTGTACAACAAGGCCATAAAATCAAAATATGCATATTTGTGCCATACAATAATTCCATGCCCTCCATATGTATATTCCAGAGCACAGATTATTTGGCTCCTGTTTTAACCAGGTGAGAAAACCAAATGTCATATTTTTAAAGCTATTAACCCTTAAAGACCTAAACGGCCGCCGGCGGCATCAAAATAACTGTTGTTCTTAAATGTTTAATAACTTTTGAACCACTAATCCAATTTGTATGCTTTAAAAAGTCCCATAAAGAGGAGATTCGCGGCTTTATTTTGGTATCGGGTTCATCGCGATTGGACATTCAGATGCTCCGTAGTGAATGTGATTGCATCATCAAGTTTTGATCAGCATTGATTCGTCAAAGAAACCCATGTGATTTGTTCCTCTGAGCCAAACGAGCAGTTTGTTGATGCTTAGTCCCACCCCCAAGCCCAGATCGGTTGAAACTACATAAATATATATAAAGTCACATTTGCTTCAGTGCTCTATTAAAATGTTTCTATTTATTTTTCTTCCTGAACTTTTTTGGACACATCTACATTGTAAATAACACCAGATTTTCACTGAAAATCGCCTATAATAATGTTATAATAAATGGCTATAACTTGCTTAGGGATTGTTACATGTAGTAAAAATTTCATCTGGAAATGTAGAATATCCAAGTACAACTTTCTAAAGGAAAAAATCCAAACTTCAGGAGGATTTGTTTGAGCTGAGTAAAAAAAAAACACAAGAAATCTGCTGCCGTTTTTCTTAAATCTGGTAAATTTATCCATTCTAAGACAGTTCATGCTTGCTTGTTTCCAAAAATCGTAATTTAAAAAAAAAAGTTATTATTTTACGTGGCGGTTACGTAAAACAGTCACGTTTCGTTACATTATCAATTCACTGGCACTTTTATCTTAGTTTTGATAAAACTCTTGCTGCATTGCTGTGATGCGTATGACTTTCGAAAGTTGACTTATGTCGGAAAGATGTATTTCTAATTATTCGTCAACTGAACGATCATGTGAGAGCTGCACTTCCACAGTAGTGTGTTCCTGCACAACCGGAGGCTGCAGTTTCAGGACCCCAGTTTTAGGACCACAGTTCCAGGACCCTAGTTTTTTTGTGACAGCGCCACCTACTGAACTGGATGATATAGCGGCGGCTGCGGTTTCAGGACCGCAGTTATAGGATCCAGGTGGTTTAGTTTGTACATAGTATCAAGATCCACCTATTATCTTAAGTCTTGTTAGAAAAAAAATATATATTTTCACAAATAAGATTATATTTGTATAGTATATTTGGTAGGTTTAAGAAAAACTACAACTCCCACTATTGGACTACAACTCTCCTACCTGGCTTTCACAGGTGTTGGTAATCACTGTTGATTGTCCTGATGTGTTTGAACACAGTTAAATTGATTGTTACATGTGTTGTCTGTATGCCCTGAGGATGGTCTTTTGACCGAAAGCTTGGTCTATTCAATTTGCTTTAAGGATTTGCTTTTGAGTGTGCGCTCAGTTTATTTATTGAGATCTTTAGTCTTGTGTGTCTGGCACCTTGAAGATCGTGAGTGCGGTGTAACTCCTTCTAAACAAAGAAGATTATGAAATAGAAAAGCTCCTGCAGCAGGTGGATTAGAGCAAGTAGCATCAAGCTACATGACACAATTTAAAAGATTAATATTACACTTTTACTTATCACTTTAAACCACCATCGAGTATTTGTATCATATCCCGGTCGCGGTTTAAAATGGTTTTAAGTCAAAAAAAGATCTTTGTCACGTTCAACCACGTCAAATGGTCGACAGCTCTATAGCGAATAAGAGAGCGCTGAGATCATAACTGACGCAAATCAGGAAGAGGAGAGACAGATCTCGCTGTTTTCGCTGTTTGAGCTTCAGATCGCATAATTGAGTAGTGGAACATGAAATCATTATTTCTCCAAATATGTGCACCATTGGACCAAAAGCCCTGGCGAATGCTATATGTATGTGAACACAAATAAACCGGAGAAGACGTGAATTACTGCTTTATGAGTGATTAATAATTTTACAGATTAATAATTTTGCACTCCTGTCATAAATTAAGAAATAAATGTCACTGCAAACCACTTTTATCATAAACAGTGGTCAACTATCGAAGCTGGAGTTTTAAATCTTTCTAATGATGCTCAGTTTGTCTAGAACAAATAAGTAAGAGTGTGATGTTTTAACGAGTAATGAATGTTGAACAACAATAATCTGGGGCCGTCTGTGATCTTTGCCACGAAAGGGCTTACATGAGTGTTTTTGGTGATCCAGTTCGGTAGGTGGCGCTGTAACAGAAAACTAGGGTCCTGAAACTGCGGTCCTAGAACTGGGGTCCTGAAACTGCAGCCTCCGGTTGTGCAGGAATACCCTTCTCCACTTCCATCCCACAAAACCTTGTCAAATGAAATGTGTTGTCTTTTAAGGTCTATTAACATACACACAAATGCATTATTTGCATTATGCATTACCTCTTTCGTAAGTTCAGTGTTCTCATAAATGTGTCGTATTTCCTCACTGCTGAAGTCCGTGGAGATCTCAGCGCTGCCGGTGCTGTACGCAGGGGTATCTGGGTAACGGCGGTAGTACCGACTACAGCCCGTAGTTGCTTCGCTTTCAAACATGGGATTGTACTTAGTAGCTCTTTCTAGAGATGGCACGTTCTCTGCATATCTGTGGAAATGTCAGGAAACAAAAGTCAGAATATAGACAACAACATTGCATTGAGTCTAATGCAAAACATGTTTCACTTCCTGTATATCATCTCTCTACTATATCCGTCAATAAATTAAATTAATAATTAAATAAACTAATAAAAAATATATGTGGATACACAAGAATTTTTGAAGACAATGACCAAAAAAGATCGCTTCTAAAATGGCACAATTGTGCAAAAAATACGGTTTGTATCTGGAGCCGAAGACGCCCTTGCCGTGGGCTTGTAAAAGTAGGAGATCGTCCCACCTATTTATATCTGCCCAAAGGTCAGATAGTGGAGCCACGGAAAAAGTGAGTGGATTATCTCAGCCTGAGTGAGAGCGGCTCAATGTTCTACTGTCCTGGCATTCATTCCTCTATAACCTGTTGATCAGGATCACTGATAGAATCCCCTGCAGAGACGTTACGTCATCTTATGCCTGCCAAGCTTTCCCTGTTCGCCCTGGTGTTGGTGAAGCAAGTATGCAGTGTTTATGTTTACAGAAAAAAAGTCTAGATGCAAAAGAGAGATAAATTCATTGTTTTAATAAATAAACAAATAAATAATTGTATACTATTTATAATACTAATGATCATAATAGCATTGTTATTATTATTATTAGTGGTTTTGGCTCTCATCTCGATTTATTATGGTTGTGTGAGTGATTTTTGCAGCTTTAAACCGACTGGTCCCATGGTCATTTTTAGTGCATGTTTTTAGTCAGGTCTAGTTCGTCACAATATTTACATGTTTTATATATATTTCGTATCAAATTCAGTCACGGTTATCGTTGTGTAAGTGGTTATCGTAGAGTAAGTGTCCAAATATTTCTTGGGGGCGTTGCATGTTAACTAGAGCCGATGGATATATATAAAAAAATTGGCATATCACCATATCAGCATAATGATGTATCGGATATAAAATGTTCAAGACAGCTTGTGAGAGGAACAACTTGTTCGAAAAAGATAATTGATCCAACCTGCACATCACTTGCCTAAGAGCATTTGTTTTGTAATCACCAAAGAGAACACATTCTGTGTTACGGCCTATTTGTACAACAAGGCCATAAAATCAAAATATGCATATTTGTGCCATAAAATATTTCCATGGCCTCCATATGTATATTCCAGAGCACAGATTATTTGGCTCCTGTTTTAACCAGGTGAGAAAACCAAATGTCATATTTTTAAAGCTATTAAACATGTTGGGATACACACTTTTTTGGGGGCCTCAAAAGAAACACATTTTAGAGTGTTTATATTCACCGCATTCATTCACAGCACTGAAAGAATGACTCATGCTTCAAATGTGCTTTACAACGCCATACAGTAATTTAAATTAATTGAACTGGTATTAATAATCCACTTATCAGGTTTGTAGTCCACTAAGGAGTTCTGCTTGTTTTGAAGTTAACAGAAAAATGAATGTCTCTAAATGTCATCCAAAAATATGATCTTATAATGTATTTGGAGCATTAAGAATGTGTTTGTTATGCTGCAAGCACAGTTTGTACCGTAAAGGGTCTTCTGAATCATCCGTGTCATACTGGTCTCGCAGAGTCCTGGCGAGGAAAAAGATCACGCCCGACGCCACGAGGAGGAACCCTGCCACCGAGGCAATGGCGATGCCAACCACCAGCGGTTCTGACACATACTCTTCGCAGTGTTCACCTCGATACCACCAGTTTTCACCAACTCGACACCTAAAACAAGTGACATGAGGGTTAGTGAATTAAATTTTTGGCCGTACTGTTCCTTTAAGAGTTGTTTTTACAGCACACACCTGCAGATGGCTCCCTTGCCAGGTATGATGTCACATTTCCCATCATTCTGGCAGAAGTCTTCCTGTATGTCACAGATACTCTGACATGGCAGCCCGTCCACGCTAAAATAGCCAGCATTACAAACACACTCCGCCTCGCCTGACCAGCGGTTGACTAAACACTGGGAGAACTCATTACACGCTTGGAATTTACACGCATCAGCCTGATCACCTACCGGAAAGAAAAAGACAAGTTGTACATACATATACGCTCACACCAATAATGGTGATGAATTTTAAATGATGTAAATAGGATTAGCACAGACAGTGTTCGCAACATTGTTAAAGAAAACAAAAAGCTTTTTTAGTATTTTAGTATTTGATAATCAAGCTGAAATGAAATGTAAAATATAAACCTTATATTAAAAACTTAAACTAATTATTAGAATGAAATAAAATGTTTCCCTGTATAATAATATATAAATAATAATAAAACAACACTGGTTTGTGTTAAAAAAGGGGAGTTTTAAGACATCAAGTAAAAAAAGCAACTAAACATTTTCTTAAAAACTTAAATACATGCCACTGTATTCATATTTTATTATTATTTGCAAAAATAAAATATATATTTTTTCCAGATAAAATATATTTATATATATTTTTTTACAAATATCATGAATTATTAATACAAATATAATTAGGTTTTCAGAGTCGCACCACATGACATTTTACACCTTGAAACTTTTTCAAATATTAATAAGCTGTAAAGTATAATATTTTTTGTTTTTTTGTTTAAACAATATTTAAAAGATTGCTCCAATTCCAAACATGCTCATCATAGAATACGTGTATTCAAGTCACTGTTTGTATGAATTGATTTATGTATTTTTAAATAAATGCAAAAAATATCTAGCAAAAACATGAACATGTCATCCATTTATTGGATCTAGAGTCAAGGTGGAATACATACAATTACGTTACAAGTATAGATGTCAGTTGGGAAACGTGACTATTCCTGTATAAGCAACTGTGATGTATTACAATGCATTACAAATGTGATGTCAAAACAAAGCTAATTTTCTGATTCGAAGGCTTCAGCATTTGGCCTTTAGAGATGCTGTGTGTTGACAAAGGAGCTTAGACAGAATTTACATGCCCACACACAGGGACACAAACAAATATGACTCACTTGTCTGGTGCGTTGAGAGCTGCACGTCTCACTAGAACAAATCAGCTCTAATCTGTCTGCAGTACAGAATCAATCCACCTATCACTCATCCTAACAAGGCCTAACGTTTTCCAAAGCCAGATTGGAATAACCCTAACCTCTATCGAAGAAACCTGCTCAATATTGAGGTGTATCTGTAAAATACCAAGGTGTATCTGTAAAATACACAGTTATCAAAACTTGCTGGCAAAATTCTAGGGTGTTTCTAGAATTTATATTTGGTTGCTAGCTTGTTTTGGGTCGTTGCATATTTAAAAAAGCAAAAGAGCCCGCCCCTAAATCTGTCCAATTTTCTTGTCACCTAGGTAAGTCTATGAGATTTTTCACCCATTTTAAAGCCTGTTCGATTAGAATTATTCAGTAGCCTTTTAGTACTGGTATAAATTGAAGAAATGTTAGCTCCTGTGTAACATATATCAGTCACAAAGCCTCCCTGTTCAGCACACTAAAACAATTATACTAATAGAAAAAAAAAAAAAACTATTGTTACTCATAGTCTTAGACTCAGACAAATTAAACATAAGTGGTGCACAAACTGTGATCTATATCTAATAGTACTAAATCCCAGTCATGATGACTGGTTCTAGTAATTTTAGGTTTTAAAAATGACTTCAAATTGGCAGAAAATGCTTAATATGGCAGGGATCTATTAATATTTAGTGAATATTGTTGGCCTCGGGCAATGGCAAAAATTTGCTGATGTCATTAGCTAAATTCGTTTTCTGTGTTTTGTTTGTGTATATGTATGTCCTTTGACGTACCTGATTCAACATCCAATGAATACTTGTCTATTGCTAGATTCATGGTTTGGTACGCGGTATTACAGAAGTCCTCCAAGATCAGGTACACTGCTGTTGTCACTCCATTGGGAACTGGCCTGCCAAACCTCATCCTGCTGTTTACCACAATGCTGCCATTCCTGAAGTTTAAGATCTCTAAATTCTGGAAATTGCTGAGGTTGGATTGTAGATATGGCACAAGCTGGAAAAGACATACATTGAAAAGAAGAATTAAAAGTGTATTCCAGAGAGCAGCAATACATGGCAGAGTCACACATACCTAGTTACGTTAATGGAAGTCAAGAAGGTGACTGAAGGTTCTAATTCCATCAATTATCTCATTAGTTAGAGTTCATGAAGACAACTATGTTAATTGAGTTAACGGATAGTATGCAAAGCCCCTAACAAACTCTCCTGATGTTCTACAACAAACAACATCAACAAATCTAAACTGGCGTTGTCCTGGGTGTAAGTTTAGAATGTGCTTTATGAAATAGTAAATAGTAATTTTGTCATCATTGATGATACATAATATTATATTATGAAAATATTTGTCATATTTTCCACCATTCACCATTCACTTCCATTGTATGACAAAGTGAAATGGTTACTGAGGCTGTCAGTCACAAACATTCCGTCTAACATCCCTCTGGGTTCCTTAAGGTCGTTACTGCCTAGGAACATGTTTAAAGACAGTTGTCAATAACGACTCATAGGCTTCTTACTGACGCTTTGCTTTCCATAAAGTAGAGCAAGGTAAATACCTAATAACTTTTAATTCCTTGCTAATTTGATATGGCTACTTCTAAACACCAAATATAGGATCATAGAATGAATGTGACAAATATATCTTACCAGCTCCAGAAACTGCTGCTCAAGAGCCTTGTACTCAGTAGAGCTCTTGTTGAACAGATCTTCTGAAAACATCATGTTGGTGACCCTGAGGCTGAAAAACACTATTAATGCCCTTCCAGGACTGGCTGGCAAGGCAATACTTGCCAAGTCAGTCTCACGAGCGAACCCACTACCATCATCTTCGCCATGGCTTGGTCCATCAAACGGGAAGATGTCAAATGAAACTTCAAATTCTGTTATATTGGGGTTAACTGGAGGAGGAACTTTCATAGTAGTACTGTCAGAGTTCACTAGTTCGGTAGGTAGGGTGAAGTCTGTGATGTCAGATCTTGACCCTACTGTGTGTTCTTGTACTGAGTTGTCTGAAGTTTCTCCAGGAATAACCATCTTGTCGGTAGGTCTGAACGTTGGTTTATAAAATGATGGTACCTTGGTGGAACTAACACCAAGTTCTGAAACATCTGGAATGAGAGACATTGTGGATGAATTAAATATTGTAGTTGAATTCCCATCGTCAACATTCTCTGATGAAACAGGCTCCTCTGCAATAGTTGCAATATAAGTGTGCACCGCATAAGTTGGAGTCTCTGAAGTCGTCTCTTGCAGAACCGAATGTGTGGTTGATTGGGTAGGTAGAGGTTCTGTGGTTGATTCTGGTACAGGTTCATCCTCATCTATTGATGAATGTGATATCCGAGTGAACGGAGAGTCCTTTTCAGGAGACAGGGAAGCTGAATGGTCTAAACTTGGTCCATCAGTGGCTATTGTTGTTGGGGCTGTTGTTGCGACCAAGATCTCATCCCCAACTAAATCCTCTTCCGAGAGTTTAGTCACTGGGCTTTCGGTAGGCACAAGCTTGATGCTTTCCATCTTCTCATCTAGAATCTTGACTTCTTCATCTAATCCTTCCACCTCAGTCCATATGAGTACAGGTAACTCTGTGATCCCTTTGGTTACAGGCTCAACAGCTTCTGAATAAGTGGTAGAACCTTCCTCAGAAACTGTATCAATGTCTAGGATTACAGGTAACTGTGTGGTTGGAGGGATTTCACTTGACTTTGTTGTGGAGGCCAGTGTTACAACTGATGCACCCACAGTTTCCTGACTCTGTTTGTTGTCTGTTGAAGTAGGATACTTATTTGTAGCTACTGCTGTGCTTAGTGGGATCACAGTGGGCGTAACAAGTAGTTCTGTATAGTCTCTATCAGTAGGTGAACTGACTGTATCAGGACTTTGTGATGCATCTACATCTTGAGCTTCGGCTGAAGTGTAGATGTGTAGCAAGGGTCGATTGGTCACAAGTGTGCCCACAGTGGTAGATTTATCTGGAAAATAGTCATCATATAGTTCAGGGGCTACTTGGGTCTGCAAAGAAAGCTCGACAGTCAAAGTCTCCATAGTCAAAAAAACTGGGGCTTGGTCAGTTGTTGTGTAGTAAGGATGGGTACGAATGTCTTGTGTCACAAGAACCCTGTCCAAGAATGTCTCATCAGGTGGAAGATATTGGTGAGGAGGTTTAAGCCGTTCCTCTATTGATTCCTGAGTTTCCTGAGGTTGGTGTACCTCATCATCGTCGTCATCGTTATCCTCATCATCCGTTAAGACTTCTTGTGGTGTTCCTGATACCCAAGGCCAGATGTCAGGACCTAGGTGATCCCCAGAGAAACCTGAGCCCGAGCCCAGGTCTATAAAATCACTCTGAGAAGTCACCTCAACATCAGGAGGTTCTACAGGAGAAACTGGTGTCTCTTCTATCTTGTGAGGTGACTCTGTAAGTAAGACAACTTCAGTTATCGTGCCTGTGTTAGGACTGACTGTAGTTGCAGGCTGTAAGAATCCTTCTTCTTCAAGAATACCATCGTCTGAAACAAGAACACAACATTTTTAGAACAATGTTACTGCCTTTAATGGTAACAAATAATTCACAAGAGATAAGACTTACTCTCCGCACCAGGAGCAGGTGCACTGCTTGAGGTCTCAGATTTAGAGGTAAGCTCAATGTCCAAATTCTTCAAAGACACTTCTGCGGGAGATAGAGTGGTACTTTCTTCAAAGATGATTACATCATTTGCATTTGTGTCCTTATTTTGTCCATCCATCCAGGTATCATAAGTGTGAACAGGGTTAAAGAAGTCATTGTTTGCAATGAAGATGTCATTGTTGGATAATTCCTGCCCAGGAACATCTGGTGGTTTCTCAGAGGCAAGAACATTATCCTAGGATTTAATGATAAGTTAGTTAGTTACTATTGACTGTTGAATTATATTTAAGACTTAAAGATAAGCCAAAAGCCATTTTAACTTTCCATACTGATGCCTACGTCCACTGAATGTATTGATGTGTCAGTTATCAAAATTGTGTCTCACTATTTGACCATCAAAAAAGGTAGGCAGAGTGAAAAAAAAGTACACTTATGGTGTAAGTGAAACACATTTTCCTTAAACTTCTCACTGAATTGCACTAGAAAAACATTTTTTCCAGAGAAATGTCAGTGGAAAAAATTGCATAGACATAGTTAAATCACACATGCACATGATATTCACACCAGAGGATCTGTTCCTCAACAGGCCATTGGATGATGCATATTTGACCAGAAACCAGTTTTAGCTGTTCCATACACCAGAAATTAATATTTAACCTCCATGCAGATTTAGAATATGTCATGTTGTATACATAATGACTGGTTGTATATACATTCATGAGCTATTCACACCATTTTATTTTCATGCAAGTAACGAGTGAGGTGCTACTGGAACTAAGATCACCATCAGTTGCACACATTGGCCTCATTCATGAAACACGAGCAGAACTAATTTCTGTGTAAATCATTCGTAAAACCATTCTTACGTAAGCTGTCACATTCAATTCAGTGCGACAATTTACATAAGAATGGTTTCATGACCAATTTACACAGAAATTAGTTCTGCTCGTATTTCTTGAATTAGGTCCATTGATCATTTAATACAAGACAAATGGCTTGACTGTCTACAAAATATCCTATAGAACTAGTTGAGCACCCTACCAGTTAGGTTTCTAATTTGCCTTAACAGCTGACCACACAAACTAATATCCATCTTAAACAGGATAGATCAGATAAGGCATCAACTTCTTGCATTGACTTTTAGTAACTATAATGCATCTTTGGATGCAAGCATAATATAACCTGAGAGAGAGAGAGAGAGAGAGAGAGAACACGTTTTCAAATCCAGACATGGACAAAAAGCTCCAGCCAAAACAAGACAGTAAATCTACTTAATAAGGGTATTGAAAAAAGTGCCAGTTTTGTCAAATGTAAGAGGAAAACCCGAGAGTAAATTCTAAGATTACTGCCATGTTTGGTATCCAATGTGTCTTTCTAATTAAACTACAGACTCCTCGGCCTCTGCAATAAATATATGTCACACTGAGATTAAAAACAGATTCTTTTCAATATTTCATAGTGCCTGAGCTAAACAATTTTCATAAAATAGCATGCTTACTTGTGTCTAGAGAATACTTGAGCTGGAAAATTGACTTGAAAAGTTTTACAGACCTGCCGTATTATCCCATAGCTGTGCTATAATCTGTTTTAATGACATGCTATGAAAAACGAATTTATGTGCAAGGTAATCGTTCTTATCATGTAACAACAAAAACCTACATGTGATTGCTATTAGTGTGACTCATTTTTCATTTAAGAGCTTTGGAAGGATTCACATTCACACTTGAAAGTGATTGCATTGCAATGAGGTGTAGAAAAAACCCTGATTCCTAAACTGCTGCTCTGAATAAGGATTCTGGACTGGACAGTCATGGTTACCAGTTTACTGGGTGGTCCTGCCAATGACCATTGACTCACCATCATGTCACTGGAGTCAAGCGGTCTGCTGGTTGGTTTGGAAGGCAGCAATGTCTCCACTGTGAAGCCAAAACAGAGACAAATCATATCAAATTATACTTTAAACTGCTCAAGCACAGTTCATACCCATACTGGCGTCCCTTCAAGAGAGATTGGCTCTGAGGGCTGCAAGATTAGTCTGCCAAAACCAGAGATAAGAACCATGAAGGTCCCTTGCTTCTGTTAAAACCGCATACAGCCAAGCAGTGTAAGTAGATATCCCACCATTGTCAACATACTGCGTTTTGGGTTCATTCAGCTACAGTTTGCAATTTACCACTGAGACAGAACACAAACTTGAACCTGAATGTTTATAAGAAACATCAGTAAGAAGCATTCTATTCAACACCCTGATGGTCTTGGGTTCCCTATAATGAATCCACAATGTGCCTCAATTTCTTAGATAACGTCTTACCATTTTCCAGTTGCAAAGAATCAGGGTCCACATCCAGAGTGGTGTTTCTGATGAAATTCTCCTTGTGGAGGGCTTCGGTGATGTAGTTTCGGAAGTCTGTGATTGTGTAGACCACAGTGGGAAGCTCATCGGGATCTGTGAAGGAGTTCTCAACCATGTTGGAATGCAAGTTTATGTAATCCATGGTCTCATTACTTATTCCCGCACCATCGCCCTCAAGAACCACAGCGTAGTGCACCACCACTGCCAGGCCTCTGAGGAATGAAAAGAAAACAGTGACTCTTTGCGGTCAAAGAACAACATAGTATGCTTCGTCAAAAGCTTTACTAAGTGTAAACTGGCCCCAAGACTGGAGCTGTTATGCATTAAAAATAACTGCAACATTTAGAAATAAATTACCAGCTTAATCTACTGTAGAGCAGGAGTTGGAGTTCGTCATGGTGAAGGTTGCTATCTGTTCAATGATGTTTCGTCATATTTGATTGTTATATTTAATCAGTTGTAAAGTAAAATATGAAAATAATAGCTTACAGGTAACCGTAAGATGGCCTGCTGGTTTTAGCTGGTTTAAAATGGTCTAGTTGTTCTGCCAGCACTACCAAGCTGGTGTTAAGCCAGTCTGACTAGTCTCCCAGCCTGGTTTAGCTCATCAGCCTGCTAGTCTTTCTGTCTGAGCAGCTGAAAAGTGCACAAAATATTTTTAAAACAGACCAACTTAACCAGTATGGACAGGCTAAGAGACACTTCAGGCCAGTTTAAGCTGTTTCTGTTTTGTAGCAGAGTGGCTAAAATAAAATTCCACTCTATAGGGGCTTTCACCGGGTAGTTCTAGGAACTTAGTTCTAGGAACTTAGTTCTAGGAACTAGCCACCAGGGTGGTTCCCCGATAATTAATGGTTCCCCTAGGAACGTTTTCCTGGTTGCATTCGCACCGCCAGTACGAACTCTGAAGTGGCGTAAGTGGCGCTTGTTGTTGTGACTTTTATTTTGACGGCGCGGCGTCACGGATAGTTCCTATAGTGCAGGTTTAGACCCTACTCTGAAGTAGGAGCTAAATTAGTTCCTCCAAAAGGAGCTCCTGGAACTAAAATCATTCCTAGTTCCTGCGGTGCGAACACGGCAAAATCCGGGTACTTCCGCCAATAGTTCTAGGAACTATGAAAAGGTTCCTTCGGGGCGAAAGCCCCTTATTATCAAGCTAGCAACCAAATATGCCCCAGAATATTCAGCAGCCAGCTGTTTGTTACAAGGGGAAATAAAAAAAAGAATGACCTAGATTTTTTTTTTCTTCCACATACATGTTTCTACAAGGGTTAGAAACCTGATGTGTTTACGACCAGATTCATTTTCTCTCCCATAACAATCTCCACCAGGATTCAATTCCAGAAATGCTAATTAGCTTTATGTGACATTAAGTGAGAACATCTCTGTTCTCAGGTGGTTTTACGGGCCTCATGGAGCTCACAATATGCAGTTATCCATTGTGTGGTTTAACCGAGGCCTCACTGATAAACCACATGGAAACCTTGCCACGATGACATTTGAGAGCAGAGGACATTTAGCATTTAATCCCATCATGCTTGGCAGCTGGGCATGCATTTAGCACAGCGACTTATCCCACTTAAGGTGACGATTGGCCAGATAAAATACCCCACTGACACATGCGCATAAGATATATCACACCTAAATGAGTATGACCATCCTTTCAATCGATTGGTTTCGCAAGGCTAATGAGGCTGCAAGCACATGACCTTACCAAGAAAACAGTGTGAACGATTTCAGAGCAATGCTTTAATAAAACACTACATTTGGTGGGTGGAAAATTCAGGCACATGAATTTCTCATTAGATGTTTTGAAGGAGATATAGGTCACGCAGCTGTGTGATATGGCAGGGTGGAGAGATGGATTTATCAGGTCCGGGTAAAACATTGCACAGAGTAGTGATAGCCCAAATAATATTAATATCTGTTTTCTTAATTTTGATATGTGATTAACTGTGACTTCTAAAATCAATGCATATAGATCCAGAGCCAAATAAAAGTTGGGATACTTACCCTTCAATGTCCTTCTGTGGCCTAGGATTTTTTATTGAGAAAAAAAGAATAATATAAAGAAATGAACATATATTATTTTTCTATTTTTTTTTATCTGTATGCACAATTAAATCATTACCATTAAAAAAAAAAACATACCTGAATTCAAGGACAAATATTTTCTTGAAACCTGGGAGCTTTTCAAAAACCTCTTCAATCTTCAAAAAAAGAAAGGATAAGCTATAACTAAACAATACTGTATATATAAACCCTCATGAACATGAGATTATAGAATTTAATAATTTAAAGGTATAATGAACTGAGACATAACATTTTTGCATAGCTTCTGACATATCTTAGAAGAGGACATCATACTATAAGGATATCCTGTAAGTTCCAGAACTGAAAACTTTCATGTTAGTCCAAAAACAGCTTTTACTATAACCAAGCCCAGTAAAATGAAAATAATCTATTTACACTGATTAAATTATATATAGAAAGCGATCAAAGAACGCTCCCTTTGCAATCGCTGGAGATGTCAACTGCGCGAGTTTATCAGTGTGTGAGTTCTGGACTCTCGTCAAAACTTCCGGTAACGCTTTAGATTACAGCCCGGAAAGTACTGCGTAATTAAAGCAATTTTACAGCGTAACCTTCGGTAATTATAGTGTACCTATAATGTACTTACAATATAAGTATAAGGGAACAATATTTTAAGTTTGGGGAATAAAGGGGTAACAACCAGGAGAATTAAAAAAATATTTATACTGTAAGTATTATAGAACTAAGGGGTACTTATTCTACTATTATGATACAACAATCTTACATTTGGGAGCAATTTAGCAAGAACATATACTGCGTACCCTGTAATTTTTAACAAAAGTGCACTGAAAACGAAAACTATTGCAACTTTTGCTTAAATATTGTGGAAAGATACTCTTGTTTCATGTAGCTTGTTACCCCCTTGTTCGATGTAATTACAGGGTAAGTGTGACATTGTGGGCTGTAAATTAAAGTGGTGCTTGTTACCCTCTTGTTCCATGTAGTTACAGGGTAAGTGTGACATTGTGGGCTGTAAATTAAAGTGGTGCTTGTTACCCTCTTGTTCCATGTAGTTACAGGGTAACAATAAAAATGCATACACACAATCTTATATCACTGACTCGGAAACCTTTATTTATTATACAAGTAGCACTTACCCTGTAACCACATGAAACAAGATATATTTCCCAGTATTTAAAAAAATGGCAATAGTCTTAGCTTTTCTTGCCTTGAAATATGTTAGCCCAAACTTAAACATCTGCCCTTTTGCTATCAAAAAATAAATAAATAAAAGTATAAATGCATAGATATGTACCCTGTAATTAAAAAAAAAGCCTATACAGTATGTATTGGTACACAATTATTACAAAAAGGTACGCAGTGTTCTCGCTAAATTGCTCCCAAATGTAAGATTGTTATATCATAATAGTAGAATAAGTACCCCTTAGTTCTATAATACTTACAGTATAAATATTTTTTTAATTCTCCTGGTTGTTACCCCTTTATTCCCCAAACTTTACATATTGTTCCCTTATACTTACATGCAAGTACTTTATAGGTACACTATAATTACCGAAAGTTACTCTGTAAATTCCTCTTAATTACACAGTACTTTCCGGGCTGTAATCTAAAGCGTTACCTAACTTCCATTATAACAAAATCCCTTTTATCTATAGTCTTTGGTTATAATCAACAAATCTCTTAATTACATTGTGTTTGCACTGTTAGTTATGATGAAATCATTCGTTAGTGTGCAGAAATTGAGTTGCAATGACGAGCTCACTGCATTCATGCACTCCACATGTCTGTGATACGCTACAATGCTAATCACTGCAACCTTTTATGCCACCATCTAAATATAGTACTATACATCAAAATATAATGCTATAATCAACACTTTTCACGATTTGTTAACTTTGAGAGCTGTAATAGTAAAATCGTGCTAAAGGTTTTTGAGAGACTTTCACATGTAATACTAGCTATTTCATTTGCAAAAATGTTAGCCAATCACAGTAGACACGCCCCTCAAAACAGAGCATTACAATCAGAGGGCTAAAGGCAGGGTAGGAAAAATGCCTTTTATTCCTAAATTATGATGATTTTAGATGTAAAAATCATACTAACATCATAAGTGCACGCCATGAAACATAAAAAATAAAACAGTGCAGTTCATGACCCCTTTAAATGCTTCATTCCCCACATACTGTTTTCGCTTGTCACTCTATAGATGAAACTCACCTTATCAATGAACAGCTCCGATAGATTTTGATAGTAGTAACTTGATGGATCTCTCAGAGCATCATCATAGCTTTCACCTCTTAGCTTAATACTCAGCTCAACAATATGGTCTCCGATAGGACGTATGGGTCGGACCACAACGTCATCTATTTCATTTCCAATCTATATTTTTTTTCAAAGAAAAGTTTAAGAGGAACTCACAATTACTCAGTTAAACAAGCTATTACAAAGTCTTAAGTTAAATAATCATTATAATTATAAATTGAATGTGCTCACCATGTTGTTTTCATCTAAAATATCATTGGAAATGTCCTGTGGCAAGATTTGTAATGTGGAGGATTGTATCTTTTGAATAGTAGTTGTCAAGTCATTCAGTACAACAGTGATATCCTCCAATTTCAAGATAGGAGTTGGGGTGTCATCCTCTGCAGGTTGCAGTTGGACAACATGTATGTCAGGTGTTTCAGGTACAATCTCAGGCACCTCTGAAAGTTCAGATATCGACAAAGGTGTCTGAGCTGTAACTTCTGGTGTCTCTGACATGGCTCCATTTGTCTTCACCATAACTTCAGGTGCTTGAGATATGATATAAGTGGTCTCTGTTATAACATCAGCTTCTGTAACAACCTTAGGTGTCTCTGTTGCAACTTCAGGTGTCTCATTTACATCTTCTGTGACTTCATGTAAGATTTCCACCACAACTTTTTGTGTGTCCTCTAGAATTTTTGATGGATCTGTAACTTCATGTACGTCCTCATTTATGTCAGTAGTCAGTATATCTTTTTCCATCTCAGTAACAGTAAGGTTTTCAAAAACTTCGAAAAGTGTTTCCCCACCACCTTCAACCGTTTTCGGGGTTTCTTCTACCTTATATTCCATGCCTTCGGTTACAAATGCTACAATGTCAGTTTCAGGGGTAACAATCTCAAAAGAGGTATCAAGCGTAGCATCAGGTGTTATTCCAGTTGTGGCCACACTTGTGAACTTAGTAGACGTTTCTGTGGACTCTTTAACCGGAAACCTTTCAGTACTTTCCTCAGATGGTTCCTCAAAGATGGCCGCTTCAGTTACATCCCCTAATTCAGCAGTAGCATCACTTTTTCCTCCCTCAAAATCTTGAAGTGAGTTTTCAAGAACTGTTACTTTGTCTGGTCCAATGTCTTCAAATTCAACCCCAGTAACATCTGTTGCCTCTGTCATCATCTCACCAGATTTCATAATGGCAGTTGTCACAAGTGCATCTCTCTTAGTAAACACATCGGAAGCTTCTGTAGTTTCCTCTGTCACTTTGGCTATATCTTCAGCTGTCACCTCCGTAACTTCTGGGGTCTCAGTTATAATGTCCTCGTCCTTACCCAAATCATTCTCTTCAGCATCAGGAGTGACCTCCGTAGGCTCATGAGTTTCCTTCGACACTTCATGAGTACTCTCTGTCACGGTATCAGGAAGTTTTTTAACTGTTGTCATCTCTGGTGTAGGTTTGCCCTCTTTAGTGTCGGGTGTCTCTTCCTCATCTTTGTCAAGTAATGTTACAAATGCAGTGTCTTCAAGTGTGTCCTCTGTTGATACAACATAAGTTTTTTCAAGTAGGTTTTCCACTGTATAATTTCTAGCAACCTCAGTTGATGTATATGCAGGTGTAGTGGATGAGAGCATTTCTGGCACTGTGGTCACATATGTGATTTTGACAACATCCTTATCTGTCAAAGCTTTTGGCAACCCATTTGTGGGGGGAACCTCTAGTGGTTCTGTAGGAGTTGTCTGCTTTGGTTCCTCTGGTAAGACATTCTGAACAGGAGATATTTCTGTAGGAGAACCTACCGGAGGTCTATCAGTGGACATCCTTGTAGCTTCTGAGATAACATCAGCATCTACATGCTGAATGGTAACAAGTGCTGATTTAACAGGACTTTCAGTAACACCTTGTCCAACATCTAGTTCAGTTTCTGAAATAAAATTTTCAATGTATTTTCTAGTGACTACTGAAGGGGTATTAGTACTTATTCCTGGTGAGTCCTCAAGGGTTGTAGGGAGATCTGTCTCATACTTTTCAGAGGTGAAACCACCCGGATTTCTATCAGGGGGCTTCAATGTAACCTCTGACACAACGTCAACTCCTACATTTTGAATTGTAGCATCTACTGTTTTAACAGGACCGTCAGTAGCACCCTGCCCAATGTCCAGTTTAGTTACTGAAATAAGCTCTTCAGTAGATTCACTGGTGACTCCTGTAGGAGTATTGGTAGTTATCCCTAGTGAGTCCTCAAAAGATGTGGGAATATCATTATCATATTTTGCTGAAGTAGAATCTTCTGGATTTCTTTCAGTGGTCATCAATGTAGACTCTAAGACAATGTCAACCTCTTCATGTGGAATGGTAACATCAGCTGTCGTAACAAGACCCTCAGTGACATCCTGTTTCACAGTGGTCTCGTTTCTGAGTTCAGTAGGTGAACTAGTGCTTGTCCCTAGTGTGTCCTCAAAGGATGTGGGAATAACATACTCATATTTTCCGGAAGTAGAATATTCTGGAGGTACATCAGTGGTCATTAATGTTGATTCAGAGACCATGTTCAGCTCTTCATGTTGAATGGTAATAATTGCTGTGTTAATTGGACCCAGAGTAGCATCCAGTCTCACCTCCGGTTTGGATTCTAAATGAAGTTCTTCAGTGAATTCACTGTTGATTATTGTAGTGCTTATCCCAGGTGAATTCTCAAAGTTTGTGGGAATATCATACTCATATTTTTTTGAAGTAGAATCTTCTGGAGTTCTATCAGTGGTCCATAATGTAGACTCAGAGACAACATCAACTTCATATTGAATGGTAACACCTGCTGTCTTAACCGGACCATCGGTAGAATCCTGTCCTAACTCTGTTTCTGAATGAAGCACTTCAGTAGAGTCACTAATGTAGGTGACTATTGTAGGAATCGTAGTGCTTATTCCTAATGAGTCCTCAAAAGTCGTGGGAATCTCATAATCATACTTTCTCGTAGTAGACTCCTCTGGAGTTATATCAGTGTTCATTAATTTAGACTCGGAGACTATGTCAACATTTTCATGTTGAAAGGAGACACCTGTTGTCTTAAATGGGCTATCGGTAGCATCGTGTACCAACTCGGTTTCTGAATAAAGCTCTTCAGTAAAATCACTGGTGACCACTGTAGGAATAGTAGTGCTTATTTCTTGTGAATCCTCAAAGGTTGTGGGAATCTCATAATCATATTTTCTTGAAGTAGACTCCTCTTGAGTTCTATCGGTGTTCATTAATTTAGACTCTGAGACTATGTCAACCTCTTCATGTTGAATGGTAACATCCAATGTTTTGACAAGACCCTCGGTAGCATCCAGTTTGACTTGCACTTCAGTTTCTGAAACAGGTTTCACAGTGGCCTTACTTGTGAGTTCTAAAGGTGAACTAGTGCTTATGCTTGGTGAAGCCTCAAAAGCTGTGATAAGACGAGGCTCAAGCGTCATTCGAAGCTCTGCAGCCGTAGTGGTGATTAAGATTTGGTCTGCAATGGTCTGTGGTGTGGCATCCTGTGAATCTGTTACTGCTTCAGGAATCAGAATACTGACTGTGTAAGGACAGAGAAACAAAGAGAAGGAGGAAGTGGCAGAGTAAATGTACGCCATAAGAGGTAGTTTGAGTCATTTTTGAATTTCATTTTGTAAATTCATCCATTAATAGCATGGATCCATTAATTCAATGCCGTTAATTATCTTCAGGATTGCAGGGCAAAACTCCAAGTACCCTTTTGTTAAGGCTAAGCCCATGCACAAATAATTAGTTACACTTGACTAAATGGCAAAACTTTGTCTGAGGATCCTGATACCTTTACTTCATTACAAGCAACTGAGTACCTAAAAAGGATTAATGTCTATTCTGAGAGCAGTGTACATCCTGAGCTAGAGAGCACTAGGTCTCTGTTGATACGACTGCAGGGTCTCATGCGGACATTTACAATACCGATGAATCAGAGCATAACTTTAATCAACAGACTGCAAAATCAGTCAATAGAAATAAGACTTTCTGGACTTTAGCTACTTATTTTGAAATATTTATAAACACAGGGAATGTGCATACAGATCCATTGTTGAAGAAGCATATTGTTTCAAACATTTTTGTAAACTAGACTGACCTTGTTTGGTTGTGGCCACGTTTGCTTGTGTTGGCGCAGTAGTCGTTGTCTGATGTCTGTGAAAGAGAAGAAAATTATACAGGCTTTTAAAGGTCAGTAACATACCCCAAAACTAAAAATCTAACCTTCTTATTGGCAAATGAATTTAGTTTTCCGTTTCAGGAAATTAACTGAACCATGAGGAGTGCTATGTCTCTAAAGCTAGCAGAAAGTGAACTGGCTTTAGCAGGGACTAAAGGTAAGGTTACAATTTTTGCAGTCTGAAACCACGGGTCTGTATCCAACTTTAACTAGTAATGGGTGTTTTTTTTCTGCAAAGCACCAGTGTGTGCTCAGAATTAGCGGCCTTAGCTGCCTGGCTAAAGAGATAATTGGTGTTTCGGATTCAATTAGTGTTAGGGTTCGGTTACATACGTTACAATCTGAGTTCCACACTGGGCATTTGCATTTATATACATTTAGGCTGCAGGACCGTACTAGTTTATGTAACACTATGTTGTTTTGTGCCCTTTAATTGCCAGGGAGTCCTACCTGCATTCAGGCTGCCATGGGCTGGTGGGTACACTATCGTAAGACAAATATAGGAATTGTGTGATTACACTGTTACTTTGCAAACAGTGGGATGTGATGTGGGTTCTTGTTTTTTTTGTCTATATTAACACATAATTATGGTAAATAGGGAGATGTGCTGTATTAACAAAGTTTGGCGGCAATTTGTGTGTGATGAAATTCAACACAGTGTAAAGCCTGAAATGAAAAGCATTTCGCTTACAATATTATCATATTTATGTACCATGATATTAACATGGTACTCCATGAAGGTAAATGTCTGTAAGCAGTTCTCACCTTGTTGATATCATCGAAGCCGCTCCTACCCTCTGCAAAATACCATAAAAGTCAATTTGCTTCTTTTTTTCGTTTGCAAGAACTTTCTGTATCTTTGAACTAAGTTAACAGTGTTGATTTGATAATTATTTGTTTGGTATCATTACAAAGACAAGGATACTTACACTTGATATCAGAGCAAGGTGCTCAGCTGACTGGCTAAAGCTCCGGCCAATGTCAAACACGCTAACACTACTGTTTTGACATTTCCTCATCCAGATCTGGTACTCTTCTTTCTCAGGTAAACGATCCCAGAAGATTTTGAAAGCCTCCCAAACTGTTTCCTGGCACACTAAGGAACAGAAACAATTGCAAACATATATACACATTCCAATAAGCATGCAATCCCATACAATGGAAACACACATACGCACACTTAAATGTAGGGGGGGTTTGGGACGGGGAATAACTGAAAAAACAGCCAAAACACTGAGGATAAAGTACCTATTTTCGTCTAGTTCTGAATATTTTTACAATTAAGTTTGACAAAGTATCAATAAAATAGTGTATAAAACAGTCAATTTCTGTTAATTAGTGCATCGCTGCATTAGCTTTAGCAACATGCTAACCTAAAACTGGAATCAGTCACGAATTGAATCTCCAGAGCACTTTGCTATTTAAACAATGCGCTTTGTAGATTTGCTGTCTATATAGTGAGCTCCAGAACACTAACTTATGAGGTTCAATTTCAGTGGCTGCCAGTGTAGACAGCAGACAGCAAGGCAGCTCACTAGATTTTGGAAAAGATCTAGTGAGAGAAACTATAAACAGTGGAGAAGAAATAATCTGCCAAAACACCAGCCATGAACTCCGCTGTAGTGGAAATTGACATCACTTATAATGGATACCCCTTTCATTTAGAAGACAGAATTAACAGAATTATTTCTTTATTTCAAAATGAAATAAAGAAAAAGCAATAACTAACATAATGGAAACATCTCTTATCCTTATCCACCCACGTCAATTGTTCCAGACAAACTTAGTTTCTTTTATTTCTCAGTTTGTGAACCAAAATTACTATTTTCGGTATGCGCCGCATACTTTCTCAATATACCCAAGCAAGTGGAAAATTAAATGCGCAGATGGAGGATGTTAACCCTTGCTAGACATTTTGCGGCTCCAGTCGAAACGTTCCACCTACATCTGCCCGCCATACCGACAATGTATGACGACTACCAGAACTCAAGTGCGTAGGAGGGCAGAGGTCACCAGTTTTCCTGGCAGAGCGAAGGATCTGATCCCTGTCTACAGTGATTCAGTAGCATTGGGGACTTCAGGAGAGCGAGAGAGAGAAATGGGGAATTCTGGCCTTTCCTACTGGAACGACACATTTTGAAAACATTTGACTAACAGTGCTAGACAGACACCTCAGATACTTTGCCAGCCACACCTTCGTTATCAGCTTTAAAGGGAAAGTTCACTCCAAAAAAAAGTCATTATTTACTCAACATCATGTTGTTTAAAACCCATATGACTTTTCCATGGAACTCTAAATAAACCACTTTATTTACACCAAGTAGTTCAACTAACTTGCACGCTTTATACAGTATTAAGCACAATATTTGTTTTTACACTATTAGGGGAAATAATTCCTTTAGCATATATAGTGGGGACACATTAATGTTTTATTTTTATTTTTTAAATCAATTATTCACTTCAATTGTTATGGTGATTATATCATTTGTAATAAAAAATGGTAATCAATTATAAAAATGCAAAATAGACACATTCGCAAGTCGTTGCAGACTTTTGGACCCCACTGAACATGTAATAAAGCATCAGAGTGCCCTATAATAGGTTGCCGTGGCTAAATGTAATCAACTTTCCATTGACACACTGCAAGAATAACCTTTACGTAAAACGGCAACACTTGTTTCTCCAGTTGTCATAATTAGATTCACTAGGGTCATCTGGATCCTATTAGTGCAAACAGCGAGAGACATTATTCTCAGCGGTGGTCTCCAGCAGGGGTTTAATACTTTGATTGCGTCTAACTTCAAAATGCTAATATGTGATCTTTAGAAAGGACATTGATGTGGAAAAGTGTGTTGAGTGCGTCTGAATATTTGTGCAGGATTATATGTACGACGGAGACAAAGAGAGCGTGTGTTTCTGTCGTTTCGAAATCGTGGTTCAAATATGCGGTTACTTGGACGTTAATGAAATTGGTCAGGTTGGCTTAGTTTATTAATATTGATGAAAAGTAGAGCTGCATGAGCTCATTTTTTTCTCACATAATGATCTCAAAGAGCATCCATTTACACCGTAGAAGTCTTCTGCAACGCAATGTACCTTTACAATTACCATTCTTGGCCACTATCCCAGAAACGCAAGTAAAACAGTAAGAAACGTCTGGTTCTTACCTCGCAGGTGAAAGTAGTTGAGATGATTCTGTGCTGCCTGTTGCACCGTCTCATGTGAGCAAAGTTTAACTCCGTTGGGGAACAGAAGGTCTCTTTTCCGTCTGGAGAGAGCCATTTTCCCCTCACCAGACACGTAACTCAATGTTTTACCTTTACCTGCCACCATGGAGCGATTCGAAACGTCATTGGCATCCAAAAAAGTTGTATATCCATTTGCTAAATAATCCTCATGAGCTTCAGCACCTTATGGAGAACGAAGAGTACATGGTCACAAGATTGCAAGCATCATAAAACTCCTCAAGATCCATTTGTAGAGTAGATACGTACCTGCATCATTGGAACAGTGTCCGGCCAACAAGAATAGTAACACCACAGCCCACCAAATGCATTTAAAAGGTACATCAGGCATAATGATTGCTTATTCCAGCACACTTTAGAGAAAAAGTCATCAATTTTTTTAGTTTACGAACAGCTGTAATTTGGGCATCCCTACTCGCAGCCCCAAAAACTAATAAATAGAGTTGAATTAATTAGTCTGCATTGTCAGTACATCCTTTCCTTGTCACGGAGGGATGCGATCACGTAGCTTTGAGCTGACGTCTCCCCATGTGGCTTAGCAGATGGCTCTTTGGAAGATTTTTCTTGCCCACTAATCCTATTTGTTAATTCTTCTGAGGAAGCTTGTCGAGAAGTCAGTGATACTCCTTTTATTGCCCACCTGTGGGATCCGTCTGAATGCAGAGACATCCAAATTCCCGTATGTGGATTAAGTCCTGTAATTTATGGTCTGATCCGCTGATGAGTTCAATTATGAGAGTGGCTTCCTCGTTCTCCATGGCTGCTATTGTGTGTGCAATGGGATTTCAATCTGAAGAGAGTTGCAATGATATCACTGCAATCCACTTGCACAATCTACTGTGATGCTACAAGGAACGATCTCTCGTTAAGTGTTTGACTGGATGTGACATCTTCTAGGGTTATCCCTTTGTCTACAAGTTTGCCACGTGCTGTGACCATACAGCTTACAGGGACTTCATCTTTATTGGGTTTTGGGTGCATTCCATCATGGCAGGGATAGTATGAACAGATGGGCACAAGCATGAGCCAAATAATACCAGGTTTGGTAAGGTATCAATGGGTTGGTGGAGGATATCAAAAGCAAAGCTGTTCATTCAACATATATCGAGTTAAATTTTACTGCACATTACACTTTGTAAAGAGAAACTTTGAACGTTGGCTTGGCAAAGCCTTGTCTGGAAGCTTTAGTTCAGTTTACAGTCTGAAGGTTATGTAGGCGTTATAGATACAACGCTAGATAGAACGCTAGATAGAACGCTAGATAGAACGCTAAATAGAACGCTAGATAGAACGCTAGATAGAACGCTAGATAGAACGCTAGATAGAACGCTAGATAGAACGCTAGATAGAACGCTAGATAGAACGCTAGATAGAACGATAGATATAACGCTAGATAGAACGCTAGATAGAACGCTAGATAGAACGCTAGATAGAACGATAGATAGAACGATAGATAGAACGCTAGATAGAACGCTAGATAGAACGCTAGATAGAACGATAGATAGAACGATAGATAGAACGCTAGATAGAACGCTAGATAGAACGCTAGATAGAACGCTAGATAGAACGATAGATTTAACGCTAGATAGAACGCTAGATAGAACGCTAGATAGAACGCTAGATAGAACGCTAGATAGAACGCTAGATAGAACGGTTGGTTGGTTGATAGACAGATTGATAGAACATAAATTTTCATGCATTTTAGCTGTCATAATAAATGTAATTTCATGTCAAATAAATGCTTTATAATGGTCACTTTTTGTTTAGATTAAAATAGTTTTAAAGCAGAGTTATTTTAGTATTATTTATGTACTATCATAATACTATCATATTATTTTGAATAAGCTTATATTTGTATAAGTTTTATATTTTTTTTGTTGAGATTTCTGTTTCTTACATCATACTTCAGTTATAGTTTCAGTAATGTAAGTACTTATTTCAGATAGTTGGCAAAGCAACATTTTTAAGTTAAGTTTAAGTTTTAAGTTTTAAGCGCTAAAGACAAAGTAAGTGACAGACCGCAACGGTGACATTTCAAGGTTTAATCAGTAGATGTTATTTATTGGATGAAATGGTAAGTAGTGGACGCTCGCCCGGCGGCGATCCGGGTGACTGTCCAGAGATAAAGATACCGTACTGTCCAGACTGTCCGGATAAAGCCGTAATCGTCACAGACACTTCCACTCACATTTACTGTACTCGCTTGATATGATTTAGCAGAAAGCCACTTACAGTTCATATCCACTTCTTAAATATTTAAACGGAGAGATGTTTTGTAGAAAGTCCTGGCTGCTATTTTCATTCAATGAACATGAATGGGGATGGAGCTATAAAAATGACTTTATTCTGTGGGAAAAAAACAACAAGTTTTTTAATGACTATATATCCAATGTACTGAATATTGTATAGTATTATTTATTTATTTAATTATATAATTATAATTATTATAATTAGTAACTAATAAGTAATAATGATTATTATTGTTATTACTAAAACAAGGATGTGAGTGGCCAATTATTTTTAAATAATTTAATCATATAATAATACTAATAAAAAGCAAATTAACTAACAGTACATTATTACGAAATTTTATATAATTAGTAATTATTAATTATAATTAATATAAATGTATTATTATTATTATATCATTAAATTATTTAAAATAGTTTTAGAACTCACATTCTTGTTTTAGTTATAAAAATTATACCAACATCTTAAATAATAATAATAATAATAATACAGAATAAATTATAATGATAATAAAAGAAACATTATTATTATTATTATTTATTATGTTTTGCTATTAGTATTACTACTACTACTAAAACAAGAATGTGATTGCGGAAACTATTTTTAAATATCTGAATATTATGATGATGATAATAATAATAATAATAATAATAATAACTAAGAATGATTAAAATTTAATTATGTACTGAATATTGTAGCATAGTATTATTAATATAATTTCTAATTATTAATTATAATTAATTCATATGAACCTATTATTTATATTACTATTATTATGACAAACAAGGATGTGATTGCGAAACTATTTTAAATAATTCTGATGATAAAATAATACATGATTATTATTATTTTTCCTAAAACAAGCATTTTACTGCAAAATTACTTTAAATAACTCTGATGATTTAATAATAAAAATAATTCATTGGTAACACTTTATTTTACAGTGTCCATCTTACACGTTACATGTAGTTACTAAAGTAATTACTATAAATTGTGCATAATTACATGCAATTAACCTTAAACACAACCTAATCCTACCCTAACCCTATAGTAAGTACATGTAGTTAATTATTATTAATCAGTACTTAAATATATAATTACACTGTAACGCAGACACCCTAAAACAAAGTGTAAACAATTCATTAATTAAAATTATTAGTATTACTATAAAACAAATATTTAATAATACTACTAATAATAATAATTATTATTTTAAAATATTTTTGGCAATCAGATCCTTCCTTGTTTTAATTGCTAGGACTGAACCTGCAACCAGTGGCCTAGTTGTAGAGTAGATTATGGGGTATGAAACAGGGTTGAGGGGGGTGTGCAGGATCCCGTCTTTTCAGAGGCTTTAATTCCGCTCTAATCTCAGAGTCTAGTCCAAATGAACTAATCTATTGCCATATAGTGTAAAGTTGCAGCATCGGGGACTGACATTGCCTAAACCAGGCTACTTTCATTGTCAGACCTGATTAGAGGAAAGCCCAACAAAGATCCTAAATCCCACTGCAACATCCCAGTCAGGCCATGACTTTAAGGTCACACACACACACACACACACACACACACACACAGAGAGACAGAGAGAGAGAGAGAGAGAGAGAGAGAGAGAGAGAGAGAGAGAGAGAGAGAGAGAGAGAGAGAGAGAGAGAGAGAGAGAGAGAGAGAGAGAGAGAGACACAGAGAGAGAGAGAGAGAGAGAGAGACAGAGAGAGAGAGACAGAGAGAGAGAGAGAGAGAGACAGAGAGAGGTTAGAGCTGTCCAGCTATGACGTGGCAGTCATAAATCATATAAATCATATATATATATTAATATTACCAGCAAATCAATAAGATTGAAAAATGCATTCAAACTTTTTCTAAAAATAAAATTAAATAAAATCTTAGGGAGCCTTTTTAGTGAGGCAGAAAAAAAAAAAAAAGGTATAGGGAAGTGGCGATTCTTGTACAGGTAAAACAATAATCTCTTAATTTTCCTCGCAGGAATCCTTCAGTATCCTCAGGAATAATCTCCCAGTCAACAACATTTGAATTAGTGAGAGAAAGAGATGGCACCCAGCAGCGGCCGCTTTAAATCCCATTCCCATCCAAACACTGCCCCATCTGCTCCGATCGACAACACTCGCCCACTCTCCTTCAATCCCACTCCGTTCATGCGTATTCAACCCTATTCCCCAATGAAGGATGAGTTTCATGTATAGTACTCATATTGGGATGATATATACAAAACGTACATCTCTGATTTCATCACATTTTCCGCCATATTGGATTTTGTCCAAAACCTATTTTTGCAAACTAGTCCTAGGGTTTTCGCCCGATTGGAACCAAACCAGGGTAGAAATATTCTATATATATTCTATATTCTAGTCAATCACTAATTATCAGAATTTTTTTATTTTCGATTCACCATCGCGGAAAAAAAAATAGAAGTGGGTGTGGCCACTTTTACTAAAATGGCTTAGCCTGGGAAAACCTAGACAACTTCGAGCAAATTTAGATTTGCTCTGAAAGTTAGTCTGGCAAAGAGCTCATTCAAGCCCATTTCCAATCCGCCGAAATCGCGGCAACAATCAGAAACGTTGGGGCGGGGTTTACACGATGACGACAGCGCTGGGATTTTGAAGCAGATTTTGTAGCCTACATTACAAAGATGGATGCCGCCGTCGAACATCACTCGTTCCAATCAGCGATCGCGTCTGTTTTAAGCGATTTGAACGTTTCCTTTTTGTTAAAAACCGAGCAAAGAACAACACTCGGAGATGTTTCTCCGCCGCTCTGCAAACGTCATCTCCTTCATCGCTCTGATTGGGTTTAGGTCTATCCGCGACATCCGTTGGTGACGCCCCTCTGGAAATGATTTGTCTATGACGCTTTGCCAGACCATAACTCAGTTACAACTGAGAATGGTCTGGTTTTAACCAGGCTAAAAATGGCTATAACCTTTGAACCAAATGAGATATTTTCACCAAACTTGGTACACATATGAGCAGAGCTTGGCTTCTTGGTAGCATGAACAGAGGTGTAATTACACAACCGTTAATGCAAATGACTTGAAAATGGGGACAGTCCCGTATCTTGAAAACAATGGCCGACATCGAACAATGAAATTTGAACACCTATTAGACAAGGTTACCAGAGGCTGATCGGAATGAAACTCCATGGGTCTGTTTGACCCTAAAGGTCTGTGAGAATCTTTACACATGGGTGTATATGATATTACGTGATGTTTAACACATACATACAATATTCATATCATATGTTAGGTCTCCTCATTCTGAACAATTTTGCATCAAGAACCACTAAAGCATGGACATTTTGCTGCATAGTGAACATAGCTTTTCTATGATAAGTAGACTCTATTTTGCATTCTCACATTATTTTTTAAGACAATTAAGCATATTACAGCCAAATATGCTTTTTTATATTAGGTTTTATATTCAAACTATTCACAAATAATATATAAAATTGACCCCGACACTCTTTGTAATTTTTTCTTCTTCTTTGAAAGACCCACAAATTGCACAGTTAGCAAATGTTTCCATTTAGGCTACTACTAAATACTTGAATTCTTTGTTGTCATGCATCCAATTAATACAAGACTAAATCTATACTTATTTTCTTTGGAAGCAAAACGCACACGAAAAACCAATCAGCGTGGGCCATCAAACCTTTTTCCAAAGCGAATGCTTAAAGTAGCGCAGCAGGGGTTGATAATGCCTGTACAGTGAAAGCTAGCTTTCATTTTCTTTCAAAAACGTTCATTTCTTTTCATCACTCTCCATTTTGAAAGTTTTCCATTAATGAAAAGCATTTTAAATATATGCCAGGTACTGGATAAATACAGTTTATGATGTTTATTATTATTTTAGTAGGCAGTGAGGGGTCCAGCTGAGCTCTGGCCAACTCACACAAACATTCGAGAAAAGCAGGGCAATGCTTTGTGTTTCAACTTCATCACAGACGGTCGTGTTCTCTTGTGGCTCTGGAAAAAGGACTGCTTTTATGTTCTTCTTTTGTCTTTAATGGACCAAATAACTGCATTATGGGGCTTCCAGAACTGCTTGAACTCTCAGAAACACAATGCTTGTTTGTAGTGATGGCACTATTGGTTCCAGCTGCCGCTGTCAGGGATATATTTTTAGATTTAGGGATGTTCCGTCAGTAAAAGCATTACTCAGAATAAGATCACTTGGAAATCTGCTGATAAAACTCAAAGATAATTTAAGTCAAAATCTGCTAAGGAGTCATACTGAAACAACAGTTTTAAAAAGTGACTTTTTCACTATTATTTACAACAGGATCTGCATTTTAATAGCAAAACAGTAACATGTAATTAATTTAAGCCACGGAATAAACTTCATTCGGTAAAATAAGTATGATGAACTACACAAAAAGCATTTCGAACAGCTCAAGCACATTTTATATATTACCCAAGCATATTTCACCCCTTATGCATGTTATCACGTCCGTCAAAAACTAGCTGTCGGCTGGAATATTAGAATAAAAAAACATCGATATAACAGATTAATGGGCATTAATCACTTCAGTGAATACTTGGCGGTTAAGAAATCAATTATTGAATCCAAACTAAATCCCGTTTTCAAATCAATATCATTTGAATATCACAACATCGATCTCTGTCAAAAAAGAAAGTGCACAATACACGGTAGTATTTGCGTGAAGCGAGTCACGCATTTCCTGGAAAACCCACTACCGGATGTTTTGACCACATCATTGCTTTCCGAGAAGAGTCTGTCAGAGACGATAACATGCATAATACAACACACGAGTATAAATCTGTTCTTCACTTGCTGAAATTGATTCGGAAGGACCAGGAACTGAGTGAAATACTTCACACTGCATGCTAAAGAGAATAAACGCCAATACAACTGAAAAACTTCGCAGGGTTAGTGAACATCATTCAACGTGTCGGAATAGGGATTCTAACATTCCTGATTTGAATGTTTTCAATCATTTTCTATTCTTAACTGATCTTTTTTTCCTCATATATAACTTTGGCAATAGATGAACCGTCAAATGAGAGATCTTGAGATGATTCCCATGTAGTCGTCCAATTTGACTCGAATGCCTATGTAACATATAGGCCTATTATAAACTTGACAGGTGACTTATTTATAAAATGTAGTTTGAATACTTTCTTAGTTGTTTATAAGATTAAGGCAATTATCAAAGTTTGATCAAATGTTGTTTCGTTTTCCAATAAAAGATGATACATTTGTACATGATTTGTTACATTTAATTACCACTTGCTACACTATGTAGCTTCAGTGGAGGAAGTACTGAATCTCAGTACTTAAGTAAAAGTACAAATAACCAGAGACATATTTACTTTAGTGAAAGTAGAAGTACCACAATGACAACCCTACTTAAGTAAAAAGTACCTGATTTTAAATGTACTTTAAGTATTAAAAGTAAAAGTACTTGCATGACAATTTATTCTCTATATTCTAACGATTAATAAAACAGTTCATCCTAACTCATTCAACCTAATAATCCTATAATGATGTTCAATAATGATGGAAAAGCCGTTATTTTAAAAGTTTTTGTCACCATTTCTGAACAAGCTTGCAATTAGGCAATATACACATCTAGCTTAACTTGACGGGGTTTGGCTGTAAACGCGATTAATTTATGGCGTAATTCTGAACCTCTTGGCTTGCCATACTAATCCTAACCAAACGTATAATAGGCTACACACGCAACCCACACCACTACTAAACCTACCCATGCGTATCCTATGCACGTAAAAACAAATTTCCCCGTATAAATTGCACGGTAAACACACTGCGTGACGGGGTTGATATGGCAACCAAACTTCACTGGTGAGACAAACGTGCGACGAACGGACGGTCAGGATGACGTTTTGGCAGGGGAAAACTGATCAGAAAATGTAACAGAACGTTGTAGAAATGTAGTGGAGTAAAAAGTATAATAATTGCTGCAAAATGTAACGAAGTAAAAGTAATAAGTATGCACTATTGATTCTACTTAAGTAAAGATATGTGAAAAATGTACTTAAGTAAAGTAACAAAGTATTTGTACTTCGTTACATTCCACCACTACTGATAACAGATGTAAGATTTGTTGCTGCTGCTGCATAAATAGACCGGAGCAGATCTAGACAGGTGGAGCTGGGGGAGGTGGAGGGGTTCAGAGGAAATCAGATAGCGCACCGAAGGACTAGCTTACTGCAAACACTGAACCAGACTATTTAAATGTTGAGCAAGCAATCTCACTGATGCAGGATCAGCAAAGGCCAATCATCCACCATGCGGAAATAGCTTGCAGATCGCATGTAAATGACCTATTAGCCTGCGCCCTCTAGAGTTTCATGACTGAAATAGATATGTACGTACATATATATGGTACATATATATATATATATATATATACATATACATATACTATGAGGTATTAAAATAAGAAATTCAAACTCAATTTAAAATATTCAACTTTTTTTATTCAAGTAAACTAAATATTTGTGCAGAAATCAATAAAACGGATGGAATTGCATCACGTTTAAAAAGCCATTTTAATACAAATAAATACAAAGTTAAATTATAAATATATCCTTTATCTTTTAATCAGTAAAAAACAAACAAAAAAAAGCAAACAAACAAAATGACAGGCCCTAACTGTTGTTTGTATACTGAGAGGACATGTTCCCGCTGTTGTTATTTGAGGCTCTGCTCAGCCCCGCCCCCTTGTCTCCGGTACAGCTGCAGCACCAGCTCCCGCAGCTCCTTCCTTTTCATGCGCACCTGATTCCGTGGAAACCAATGCTCCAATCGCAGAGGGAGATCGAAGTGAACCACTGGATTCTGAGTGGAGAAAGTTGAACAAATCAAGGACCGATTTATGGCTCATCGCCAAGTATTTACTTCACGACCGCTAAAAAACACGACACGAGTACGAATGTAATCTGGATGTACTACATTCCCCATGTTGTCATTATCACGTGATCTATCATCAGTTGCGTCGCTTCACTGCCATTCATCAATCCTCTCCCGTGGCCTCATGGGATAGTAAAGTGTCCATCGTATCCACACTTCAGTGTCTCGCAGGAAGTAGTAGGTCATCCGGGGACTTTTGCCAACTCTTTTATGAGTACTGCGAATTTCTGACATACTTCTTTTGTCACATACTGTTTATCGCCTACTATATAGTAGGGAAGTATGTGATTTCAGATGCAGCCTATGAAAAGCTGACATTTGGAAGCTGGTTAGGACACTGCAAAATAAAAATCTCGTGTTCCGCATAGGATTGGTTTGCGATGGTAGGGCTAGGGTTAGGTATTAGGTATTAACAACTAACTTAATACTTAAAATGATGCAGTTTTACATTTCTAGCGTAGTACATGCTTTACTTCAAACTGATACTCAGTTCAAGGCTGCAAACAAATCAGGTGTAACTTGAGTTCCTGAGATCCCAATCTCTTACTTGCGTTACTGAAAATCCCACTGAACGGCTGAGCGCAAAATGTCAAGCGACTTGGATGACCGACGTGTCTCTAGTGCTGAAACGTTAGACTGTACTCTGACATTTAGCACCGAGGGATCTAAAAAGCACCGACCCGGTACAGAAAGCACCACGTAGGCGAGGTATCGGGAGAAAGACGACATTATGCTATCGGCTCAGTATGTAGGTACCTGTAGGAAGCTCTCCACGTACTGCAGCAGGTACAGGCCACAGTCGCTGCTGTTGTCCTGGAGCGGAACCCTACAGAGACTCCCACTTAAGCTCTCACTGGTAAAAGTTCGAGCGCATCCTTTCCGAACCTCCCACTCCACCTGCAGGTACCTGAGGGATGACATCCACAGGTGAATCACAGGGATGTAGTATGAAGCCACATTTAGTTCTCTGACATGACTAAACATAATGAAACCTGTCCAAACTAGAGCTGCCACATATATCGAGATTAAATCAACATCGTGATATGGCTTAGTGTGATTGTCAAATTGCACAGGCTGCAATTGAATGAATATATGCATATGCGCTACCGGTTTCAGAGTGAAGCGTGGCATTTACACACCTGATATTAAGCGTGTAAATGAACACACAGAACACTTCACTCTGAAACCAGTAGTGCATGTTTTTATTTGCTGGGTTACCGTTCGAAAATGAAGAAATTACGACGTAAATATTAGTACAGCGAAATAAATAAATTAAATTTCTCAATTTTTATCTTATAGGGCTATAGTGTTATTACAACAGTGTTTTTTTTATGTTTTTATTTTTAGTAATAATCATATCATTTCATTATCCATTATCCAAATCAAATCTTTTTTTTATTTTACAGTCATTTGAATTGGTCAAAAACTGTGGGAATGGGGCCTATGAAAGTATGAAAATACCTCCTATGAAAATATTTAAAAAATTGGACTGCAAGTAAATTTCACGAATTAATTAAGAAATGTCAAGTAACACATTGAATTAAACATCACATTTTTAAGCTTTTCCTAAATCATTCAGCCCTAAAAATATTTTGTCATTAAAGTTGCCATGAAATCAAAATTGACAATACATTTTTTGCAGTATATAGCAGTATTTATTATAAAAGATTAATCTGTGCACAACTTGTTGTTTTTTTAAATCATGTGTCATCGTAAACTTTATTCCAAATAACTTCTCTGAGAATATTTTTACTTGCACGGGGGCTCACATAAGATCCACCAATAGCAAACCACAACCATCCAATCAATTCCTGATGGACCGAATTGATGGACCGAATCAAGTCCCGCCCTTCCTGTTTCACTCGGATATACGTCACAATATGAAAGAGTGCACTATCGCACCTTCAGCTTCATGCCGACTTTAGTCTTCAGAGTATAAAGCAATTTTTCAGCCTTTTAAAAAATAATTTTTTATCTAAAATCATCCCACTCACTCTATATTGATTAATTCTTTCCACATATAGCTATTCAAGTCATCTGGGGAAAATGTATTTTTTTAATAAATCACAGAAAAACTAAATAATTGAATTGTCAGTTTTTTTTCCAATATCATGCAGTCCTAGTCCAAATACAGTTAAACATCAATACAAATAACAGCAATTGCATAAATCCATTCCTGTAATTGTAATTGCATTCCGGTGAATGACTCACTCTCGTAATAGTGTGTAGATCCGCTGGTGGTAAGAAAGCTTTAGAGAGTCCATGACCAGAATACAGGGCCTGAGGTTCAACCGGGGAAACAGACAAAACAGCGGATCAGATAACGGGATCAGGAAACCATCTCACCCGAGGAGCCCTCTTTTAGCACGAGGCTAATACAGTGTCGTGAAGAAGTATTTGACCCCATGATATTTGCCCCCTGAGATCAAGAGATTGACGATGTTTACCTCCTGCAGACGGTCTCTCTTGTGCAACTGTGAGCTGTGCAGTCCTAAAAACACACAAAGACCCATCAGATTCCCTCATGCCGTACATAAAAATCAGTTAATAAACTGAAGTTCAAACTGTAACGTCATTCCAAAGATCGTCTGATGATATCGGAGAATTTAAAATGTGTGTGTAGTGAGATTACCGGTAGGTCATGTGATCTCGAGTCACTGAGTTTCAATCCCTTTCCTTTTGGCAGCTGTGAATTGTCTGGAATAAAAAAAAAAATATATATATATATTTAAATTATTACTCTGTTCTGAAAGTTGGCTTCTCTTTACGATAAGGGCACAAAATGTTTTTGGAGTGAGAACTATTAGATATGTTTAATAAAATATTTTATTGTTTAAAAAAAAGATCTTTCATGAAAAGAGAAAAGACTAATAGAGAATAACTTCAAAATTCATAATTAGTCTGACAACAATGGCACACACACACACAAACACACACACTTGCATTCATCAACCTCAGCCATTGAACTCTGTTACCAATGGTATTTTTTAATAAATAAATAAAAGATTTTTTTTTTTAAAAAGGGATAGCATAATCAAATTTAATAATCAATTCAACTTCAACCCTGGTAAAAAAAATATATATATATATATATTAGGGCTGTCAAACGATTAATCACGATTAATCGCATCCAAAATAAAAGTTTGTGTTTACATAATATATGTGTGTGTACTGTGTATAATTATTTTTAATACATAAATACCCACACACGCATGTGTTTTTAAGAAATATTTGCATGTATATACTTTATATAGACTGAATGTAGCCTATATATAATGTATATTTTATATAAATATAAACATTTTATATATAAATAACATATTTTTCTTAAATATATACGTGTGTGCATTTATATACAAAATAATTATACACAGTACACACACATTAATCATTTGACAGCCCTAATATATATATATATATATATATATATATATATATATATATATATATATATATATATTTATTTTATTTTTTATGTAAAAAATATATATAAAAAAATATATATATATATATATATATATATTTTTTTTTCCAGGGTTGAAGTTGAATTGATTATTAAATTTAAATATATATATATATATATATATATATATATAAAATAAGATAAAATAAAATCATATATAAATACATACATATTGTATTTGAAGGTGTGAGTGATACCTCTTTGACATTCCCCTGCTGAGCTCCCTTTGGCTGTCTGGCTCCCGTCCCGGGACACAGGGCCTTTGTCTCTCCACTGTACGTACTGAGTCCGTTCCAGACCGGGAAAGCAGATCACCACGAGGTACCAGTGAGCCCTGGACAGACAGTAAACAGAGAAAACAGCACAGGAAGTGGAAGTCAGTGATCTGTGATAAAGCCTTATTTCCATTGCCAAAAACATCCTGTAGCAGTCGGTCTGGATCCTGATACTGCTTCAACAACAACAACAACAACATTTCTTTCTCTTTTGACGTTATTCAATATAAACAGAATATTTATGTATCTGTTCTGAAATGGCAAAAAAAGAAACAATATTTACCTACATATATTTCAACTAAAACTACTATGCTTAAAAAAAAAAACTATGAAATTATATAGGCTACTAACTCATTTTAATCTGCTAAAATTCATAAGAAATAGCAATATTAAATGTATTGAACGCTGAATACTGAATGTATTATTAAACATTATATATATAATGGCATGCAATATTTTTTGAGATATATTTAAATGGACCATTTGTTAATGTACGTTAATAGAAATGTACCAAGATACCAAGGATTGCAGAACTAATCTAATGAAACGCTCTAATTTTCCACATGAAAGTGCATTCAAATCTGAAAATGAACAATTCGCCAGCACAATCATTGTGAAAACACTGTGCATATTTGCTATATCACCCAGTCCTAGTACAAGATCGGCTAATCCCAGAACTGGGAGAATGTACATTCCCAAGCTTGCGAATCATCTGTGTGCCATGTTGTACTGTGCGAGTGTGCGCATGTACATGTTTCAGAGAATGTCCTAATGTGGCAATTTGCTTTTATGAGAACATGGAGTACGACGTCAGAATTCCTCGTTCCCTCTCTCTTGGAATTACAGACTCGTTTGACCTTGTTTAAGTGATTTATCCTCTCGTCCATAAAGCACAATCCAATATCCTCCACTGTCCTCGGATATCAAACAATGCTGAACATCTACACGGGGCTTCCTCGTTCAGCTTGGTCATAAAAACAAAAGAACAGTCTGTAACGCGAGTCTGAGATGTCGTAACTATTTGCGAGGATTTGCGCAACTCTCTGACGTCGAAAGTACACCAAGGTGACAGTCTTGATTAGTTTTGTCTCATTTTACTTGTTGGGAATTCGCTCTGTTCCGAAACATCAAGTTTCTGGAAATATTGATTATAAATAACCATACAGTACTGTTCAAAAGTTTAGGGTCAGTAAGATTTCTTTTTTGTTTGTTTTTTAAATAAATGAATACTTTTATTCAACAAAGACAAATTAAATTGATCAAAAGTGACAGTAAGCACATTTATGTTACAAAATATTTATTTTTATATAAATGCTGTTCTTTAAAATATTAAGCTGTATTTTCAACATTGATAATAATAATAAATGTTTTTTGAGCATCAAATCAGCATATTAGAATGATTTCTGAAGGATCATGTGACACTGAAGACTGGAGTAATGATGCTGAAAATTCAGCTTTGATCACAGGAATAAATTACAGTTTAAAATATATTCAAATAGAAAACAGTTTTTTAAAATGTTAATAATATTTCACAAAATGTCTGTTTTTACTGTATTTGTGATTATATAAATGCAGCCTTGGTGACAACAAAAAAATAATAATAATAATAATAATATATTACATTAAATCTTATATATATATATATATATATATATATATATATATTTAGATTTATCTAGATTAGCACCCTATATATATATATATATATATATATATATATATATATATATATATATATAACTCAGTATTTGGTGCTAATCTGAATCGTGCATATGTGCGTTTTAAATTTAAATTGCCCACTTACTCCTGATTAACGGGTATAAAAAGGTAGTCTTTGCTAAAGATGTCCACGTGACGGGTCCATGTTCTCACTCTCTGATGTCGTCTGTGTGGGGCTCTGAGGGAAAACACCACATAGACATTCCCATCAGCATGAAACTCACAATTTAGCAAGAAATTTTGGAATTTAGGAAACTTTAGGGTGTACTGTCCCTTTAAATGCTTAAACTGGATTTAAAGAGACAGTACACCCAAAAATGAAAGTTCCTTTAGTGAATCTTGCTGGAAACCAAAGACTGTAAAAAGGTCTTTGAGTGATTTCTTACGTGCTGCCGGTCTCTTCCGGGCAGCTGGTGTCTTTTCGAGTAAGTTGTTTGTAGAAGAAGCTGCTGAAGATGTGAGATCTTTCGGCCACATCCTTGTCGGCTCTTTCCAACAGAAGGTACCTGAAGGGAGTGTTCAGTAGTAGGGTAAGGGAAAATATTACATCACATTTCACAAGCTCAGAAGTAGCATTGGACTCACTTGAGGTAGAAGTCGATGATGACGTCGTTGAGAAACTCGCCATCCTTGAGGCACTCCAGGTCCTCGGTTGTCACTGTAATGCCGCCCTTGGAGGGGGGAGGGGGGTACTGGATCAGCCTGGTGGAAAATTTTCAAACAAAATGTAACTTCAGCTTCCAAAATTACAATCCTCTTTGCTAATCATGACATATCAATATTGACTTACAAATTAAATCTTAATTTCACTGCCCGTATGGAAACTTCAACAACTTGATGGAAAGTTAGTGGTATGGAAACCTCTCAAAAGGGCCAGGGAACGTCAACGTTTGGGTTCCAGCTACTGAGCTTATGGCTTAATCATTGCTTTCAGAAGAGAAATTAAAGGTGAAATATGTCATTTCTGCACCTCTAGTGGCACCAAAAAGAATTGTAAAAATAATGGCAAGTTAAAACAAGTTTTAAACACTTCCTCGTCTTCCATTGTGCGGACAAAAAGGCAAGTCCAACCTAAAACTAAGGCAAGTCAATCAATATAAATAAATATGTATGATTTCTTTGAAACACAAATAGGTAATTTAACCAGTGTTTATCATATAATGGGACGCATTCACCTTTCTAAAGACTGGTTGTCAATTAGAAGATTAAGACATTTTAAAACAATGTGCATATAGTTGTGTATAATGTTGTTGTTTTTTTGGCTTCAGTAAATATTTTTCAGATAATACTTCAGTATTTAATATATATTTATTTTGATTGTAATGCAATGACAACTTAAAAAGTCCATTATTTAATTGTGCAAAAAACATTTAGAAAAGAGTGGTGCAGGGATAATGTATTTCTGTAGGCAAAAAAAAAAAAGGGCTGTGGTGAACACAAGCTCAAGTTACTTTCACGTTTTTTTTTTCTATGGCATAAAATACCTTGTGATTTTTAAAGATTTTACTTGTTGTCAGGGACATTAATCATCATCATCCACAAGTAAACTCATCAACTCCGCTTTCACAGCCTTGTTATGTTTAGAATAACGCTCTTGCAAACTATTATAATGCAAACATTCAAAGGATTCTTTTTAAAAATAGAGACTGAAAGAGTTGTTGAAGCTTAACGACGGTGACGTTGAAGTCGTGCGACCGTAGTGTAGTTCGTTTATAGTCTACGTTTAGCTTTTTACTTCTGGCGATTGCATCTAGGCTTCGAAATTCTGAAGCTGTGTTCATTTGTGAAGATTATCATGATGAATAAAACATGCAAGAATCATAAACTTTTCTTGGTCACAGAGCTGATTTTCGGCAATAATTCAAAAAATTCACTGAAAAAAATCCTATTGAGTTTTTGTCGAGGGAACCAGGATGATGCGAACTTCCAGGCTGACCTACAAAAATACATTACTTAGGCACTCTATATCACATTTTTGTATCATTTTAAATGAGCCTGTATACATGAAAATATATAGCAGCCTTTATATTTTAGGAAATATATCATCATATTGGGGGGTACTTGGCATTAAACATCAACAGTACCTGCGGGCTAAGCTCTGTTGCCGGCTGTTGCTCCGGAGGGGTCTCCTGACCGTCGGCAAGCCGCTGGTCCCACTCACGTTCTCCTGTTGGGGAAAAGTGAACAAGGTCAGATCAGACTCTAAACAGTTGGTGATACTCCAAACACCTGTGGTTGGAGCACCCGAACCTACTGACCTTCTCAGTGGCTTCGGTTTCCACTCGAGCATGCAAATGGCACTGGATTTTGTTGAAAAGAGGATTGTAAATATGGGTTGGGAAAATGTAAAGAGAGCAAACATGATGTACTCAAAGTGGCAGTGGCGATATGGGTTCAGGAAAAGGAAAATAAAAAGTGAGAAGAGCGACGCCATGTGCTCTCTTTAGGGCGGATTGCCGGGCTCCATTTCTGTTGAGCGCTGAGCCAGATCATAAAACGCAAGAAAAGAAAGAAAGGAGAACGCGTCTGAGGTGGCCTACTTCCATCGCTGCCAGCTGGCACCATCAAAAGCGAAAAAGAACGTGTCACGCCCCAAGAGCCCTGACGCCCACACGCAGATGTTGCCCCAAAAAAGACCTACATACGTACTAAAGTTGTAGTACCCCCAAAATACAGCAGCCGTGAGCCCCCGCACACGTCATAAAGACTCTGGAGAGAGTGACACAACGGCCACTTCCACAGATCCCGAGAGAAAGGGAACTGCTCAGCTACTATCCCTAAAAGCAGCCAACTTTCCTTCTCCGTCTCATATCTACACACCAACACAGCCTCCATGGACCATGGCTAACCTCACTCCTGCTCTTATATTGGGCCGTATAATTCCTCTGGTGCCTCTATCATGCCTGCACTCAAGTTCCTGCCAATATCTGGCCAACCCATTGAACACTGGAAGAGGAAGCAATGGAGAGGGGCATAGCAATGGATAGATGGACAAAGGAACGAAGGATGAATGAATGAATGAATGAATGAATGAATGAATGAATGAATGAATGAATGAATGAATGAATGAATGAATGAATGAATGAATGAATGAATGAATGAATGAATGAATGAACGAACGAACGAACGAACGAACGAACGAACGAACGAACGAACGAACGAACGAACGAACGAACGAACGAACAAACTGATGGATGGATAAATTAATAGATGGATGGAAAAAAAGAAAGGATGAATGATGAAAGAAACTGAACTGTATGGATGGATAGAAGAAAAAAGAATAGATAAATGAATGGATGGATGGGTGGACAAAAGAAAGGATGAATGATGAAAGAAACTGAACTGTATGGATGGATAGAAGAAAATAGAATAGATAAATGAATGGATGGATGGGTGGACAAAAGAAAGGAAGAATGATTAAAGAAACTGAAGAGTGGATGGATGGACAGAAGAAAAAAAGAATAGATAGATGAATGGATGGATGGACAAAATAAATAAGGATGAAAAACTGAAGAATGGATGGACAGAAATGCACTGATGAATGGACGAATGGATGGACAGACAGACACAAGAAAAGGAAGGATAGGATAGACAAGATGGATGGATGGAAAAAATGAAAAATGGAAGAAAGAAATGGATGGATGGACAGAAAAAAGAATAGATGGAAGGACAGACGGGTGGACAAAACTAAATTGATGGACAGACTAAAGCATGGATGTATGCATGGACAAAGGAACAGATGGATAGACGGACAATCAGTGTTTGGATGGAAGTATAGATTAAAGAATGGATAAAATGATGGACAAAACAATGAAATTGATGTTTGGAAGGATGGGTGGATTTAAGAATGGATGAAATGATGGAAAAACAATGGATGGATGGATGGACATATGGACAGATAGATGGAAAGACAAATAAATGAAGTGTGGAAGGATGTATGGATGGATAAAATAATGACTGGATGGAATATATTAGATGGAAGGACCAACACAGCAATGACTGGATGGATGGACAGACGGATGTGTGTGCTGACCTTTGCGGTGTCCTGTCCAGCGTCCTTCACGTTCTGTCCCAGCAGTGAGAGGAGGTGTTCGCCCCGTGGGTGATAATGAAGCTGATTCAGCCCATCCGCCCAGGACAGAGCGTTACTCAAAGTGCCCTGGCCGTATTTCAGGCCAATCACGTCCATGAGAGACGCCAACAGGGCCGTCTGAAGGTCCTCCAACTGACCAGTCAACACCAGCAGGACAAAAGGACAGGCCTGTCCTGGAAAAACAATAGAAGAATATATAAACCACATTTTTTCATTTTTTTTTTTTTTTTTTTATTAATGGAGTTTGTTTGTCTACAGCATTTAACTCAGATCAGATGGTGGATGATCCATCTAGAAATGCTCACTGGGTGGCCAAAGTTAATAATAATAATAATAAAAAGTTTGCTCACACACATAATAGAACTCCAAACACATGAGCGCCAGACTGAATGAATTAATCTTTTAATGGCCGCCGATCACACACACACACGCACTGCAGGTAATGCCTGTATGTTAATGCTTTAATACTGGTTGAAGGCTTGTCACACAAGCTTCGATAACCGCATGGTGCCATTAAAACTGGCTGCGCTCTCATTACAGAGATCAAGGGTGTGTGTATAATGTGTATACTAAGCAGGGCTTGATACATGGTGACAGTCACAGCCAATCAGAAAACAGGGTAAGATGTTTAATATACAGTTATGAATAGCAGGATTTTGGACCAATGTTCAATGTTATTATTATCATTAATAATAATAACATTGAACAGTGTTATTATTATTATCATTAATAAATGTATTAATAAATGCCGTTTCTTGTATAAATGTTAATTATTGAACATGTTATTGAAAATAAATCACAATAAAGAGTAAAGAGGTCGTTAGTAAAGCTGTTTACAGTAGGATTGTACTATTTCTGATAAAAAAATTTTTTTTTTTTTTTTTGAATAATAATAAATATTATCATTATTATTATTATTAGATAAAAAAAATATTGAAAAAATCGGGGAGCCCTCGAAGTTTCTATTTTGTTGACAAAAGCCGGTTTATAAGTGTTTCTCATTACAAGTTTGGGAAGATATTTGGTGCATGTGCATTACAAAATCCAAGTTATAAGTGAACTTTTACATTTACCGTCAACAGAGCCGCTTTGAGACGCTGAAAACATCGAATCATGAGCGGTTTGTGTGTAAAAGAACACAGTGCCACACTTCACTCTGAAACACGCAGCGCACATAACTATTGGATTAAATCACAGCCTTTGCCATTTGATAAATCACACTAAGCCATATAGCGATATCATTTTTATTTCGATTAATCAGCCCTCATTTATCATTAATTAGCCCTAGTTTAAAGTTTCTGAGTAACTTCGCAACTTGGCGCATTCATATAAAAATATATATTAATAATAAAATCTATAAAAATTATTATAAAATATTTAAAAAACTAGGAAAAATGTATTTCGATTTACGGTACAAACATGCTTTATCCAATCAGATTTAAGAACCAGATCTGCTTTAAAATGTTCATTTTAGCACAACTACAACAGTGCAATAGCGACAACTACATTTTTGATGTCTACTACATAAACATTCTTTATGTACCATATGTATGGTCTTTATTTAAAGTCATTAGTGAAATGTTGACTTTATTTTGTATGACTTATCTTTTAAATCCCTCAAGAGTCAAGACAAGCCTAAAGTTCGACACATGTGCAGTACAACTGATTTTCTATACTCCACAAGATGTGAGAGGGCAGCACTGAGTCGCATCATTCACAAGACATTCGCTCTGAAGGATAGAAGAAGAAAAGTGGATCCGCGGTCGCACGCAAAAGTTTAGGACAAGAACCAAAACAAAAACGATGAATGCTATGCTGCTTTTGTTTTCCGTTTTTGGAACAGCGTGTTGTTTTGTATTGTTCTTTCTGCACTCTTCTTTGACAACTGCACATTACTACACAATATGACTACTGCATATTGCCACCTAGTGGACGCTTCTGTCTTAACAAGCACTTACTATGCGTACCATCCACGTATAAACAAAAATCGGGCAATTTCTTGGATCTATTTCAAGAAATCTCCAGTAGAGGCCTCACCTGAAGTGTGTACTGTGTGCAGCACGGACAGCTCTTTCTGAAGAAGCCTGGATTGAGCGTCCGACACCACGAGGAAGAGGAGAGAAGGGGCGGGCTCTTCCGTGCTCGGTAACAAACTGCCGTCACGGGACAGGCCGCCATCCCACACGCCGTATAAGCACAGCTGAGAGCATGACACGCTAACGGCTACCTCACCCTCCCCATCCACACCTACAAATACAAGAAACAAGCAGGATTATTTCACTTTGGTTACAGACATTTAAAATACAGCATGACGAAGCTTCACTAAAAAGTAAAAACAAAACGGTTGAGTAAATGATTCAATGATTTGCTCAAAACAAGCAAAAAGACACTTGTTGACACTGAACAAATCTTTACGGTGAACGGACTCAAAAAAGATTCAAATCATTGAGATGATTATAGTATGCATTACTATAATACATAGATAGTATAGTAGCCAGATAGTATTAGAGGGAAGGACAAGAATTGATTGGACAAAACATTTGTGGTCTATTTTACTAGAGAAAATATTTCAATATTTCATCAAAATGTATAAACTAGCTCGTCCTCCGAAACGACTATCCTGTTCCGTGGACGTCACATACTTTGCATACTTAGTAGCTCCTACATTTCATGACGAATGAACTTCGCAATGTTAAAAAGGTACGTTCTATATAGTCATAAATATGTGTAGTATGAATGTAATCTGGACGTACAACATTCATCATGTTGTCATTGTAACAAGACCTACACATTCACAACTTCTCTCCCGCCTTTTGGAATTTCGATAGAAATAATAGGTCTAAACTCTTTTATAAATACTACGAAGCTGGACATACTACTCTTTGCTCGTACTGATTTTTTGCTTACTATATAGTAGGCATTTTCAGACGCAGAATTAGACTGTGCAAGTTAATTATTAAAGCATAATGCTAACCAACAGCCAAATAGCTACTTAGCCATTGATTTAAATGGCACATTCTAGTACGTAACGCCCATTTGTTGCGATCTAAAGTGCCACCACATGTTTTCTCTTGTTAAAGATCCTCTTTCCCTCAGAAATACATCACATTACTAAAGTCAAATGGGTTTCGAACTAACTAACTTCTAGGCATGCACGTCAACACTAACAGCTAAAAGCCACAAACCGATGCCGAAGGCTGCTTAATTTGGCACAAATGATTATTGTCTCTCGAGTGGGCAGCTTATGTACAAAGACCATAGAGAGCTAAGAATAGAGAGACACTTGTCTGAAACCCTCATAAGCATCTTATAAGCATCTTATACACACACAGGTGCTCTATTGAACACATTCAGTAATACTGGGAATACTGAAGTCACACAGTTCTCTGCTCTTCCTCTGTCTCACACACATAAATAGAGCCTTAATCTGAGCCGTCTTAACGGTGAAACTAAGCGAGAGGAGGGAGAGAGAGAGGGAGAGAGAGAGAGAGAGAGAGAGAGAGAGAGAGAGAGAGGGTCACAGACAGTTGAGGAGAGCTGTCACCTGGGACAGAAGAGGGTGAAGGGTCAAAGAACTCTGCAGTCTGCTGGACGCTGATCCAATGAGCGAATCGGGTGTAATTACTCTTCTTCGCCACATGGGGCATTCTTTGTATATACACTATATATAAATCATCAGAAATGCTCACTGGATGTTTAAATTGTAAATCATTATTACACTAACTCACTCTTCTCTTTGCTAACATGCACGTCTCGTACACTATAATGTGAAACACCTGCTTAGACGAGTCTAGTTTTCAACGCTCTTCACAGCTTGAGCACCAGACTGAATAAATTAGTCCTTACAGTAATGGTCTCACACACACGCACGCACACACACGCACGCACGCGCGCACACATTTAATTTTCATTTTTAAATTGTATTAAACTAGATGTAAATATATTATCAAATTATTATTAAATCATTTTATTTTTTACATAGGTGTAAGCATATTAGCAAATAAATAATTAAATCATTTTATCTTTATAATTAAACTATAATTAGATTTTTCTTACATTTACTATTTGATAATTCATTTTAAAAATAGTTTTCAAAATGATACAAGATGTAAAATTATTAGTGCTGCCACTAACGACTAATTTTCTAACGACTAATCTTTCGACTAATTTTTCGATTAGTCGACTAATCTAAACGACTAATTAAAAAAAAAAGTGTTTATTTCGTTGTGTCCATTTTATTTTGAACTCAACTGAAGGGCCAAAACATAAAATGTCACCTGTTCAAAAACATTATGTATTAACAATCTAAGCATTAAGTATCTGCATTTCCATTAGGCTATACCATATTAGTCAGAGTCCTAATCTAATCCTCTAATAACAAACATGTATGTATTACTTAAATTAGCTCTTTGTTCTGCCTTAAAAAATGTACAGTAAGCTAATAATGATTAATTTATGTACATTTCTGAAAAGCATAACTGATAACATCACTCTGAATAGTAAAGTAGATGCAATGCATTTTCTGTGAAAAGCGCTATACAAATAAATTGGAATTGAATTGAAAGAGTCTGGACTAGCCCACTATGAGTCGCGCTGAAACCAGGCAGGCACGCAGTTATGTAGCTCGCGTTTACACTTGCGTGCATGGCAGGCCCGTGCCGCGGTTCGCGTGAATGTGAAAGCAACACGGACTCGGGAGCGCTTGTTCAGGAAGTTAAGTAACCTGCCCATGCGTTTTAGCTGATTATGATGCATTTAGTTAAATAAAACTCATGTAAGGGATGATAGTGTTGATGATTTACCTTGGATACGCGAGAGTTGAGCCTGCAGTGTATTCGCGCATTGCGCGTGCAATCAGGGCAACACATTTGGAAATCCACTGTCTCCTCAAAAGAGTCCGTTTGAAAAACACAATATATTGACCCGCGTTCTGTTTTCTATCATGCGCCGTGCACGTTTGCGATGGCATAAGATGCACGCAAACTCAACAGGGTTCGATAGAATTGAGTGTGAAACCAGACCAACGCTGCGGGGGGCGCCAGGAACAATCGCGCTCGCGCTCGGACCGCAGCAAACGAGCCCACTGTGAAAGCTCCGTCACCTGCCTCCGCAATTTTTCATAATAAAGCAGTGAAGGCGGGCGGGAACGTGAAGGAAAATGATAGCAGATAAACCAGCAGGGCGCGCACGGCGCACAGACTGGTGTGTGGAGGTGAATTACAGTGAGCCGTTTGTGACGGGCGACCAAAAATAAATAGCGGTCAATAGTAAAATGACACGTCGACTAAAAAAATTGCCGTCGACTAATTTGCATGGTCGATTACGTCGACTAAGTCGACTAATCGCGGCAGCACTAAAAATTATGTTCTCAAATAATTATCAAATAAATTATTAAATACATTATTGCATTAAATAATTGAATTGAACATTTAACAATTAAATTGAATTGAAATTGAACAATTACATTTTACGTGTATTATTTAATATCCGTTTTAAAGTTATTTTGAAAATATTATTTTTAATTTTATACAATTCGGTGTAAATATATTAAATGAATAATACATTCAATATGTTAAATATTAATAATAATTACAAGTATACTAAATATAATGAATTATTACATACTTTTATAATTAGTATTATTGTTAATTACTATTTAGTGTTTAGATTTATGAATCATTTCAAAAGTATTTATTAACTTAGATGTCGATGGTCAGGTATCTTCTTTCTAGGTTGTTCTTTCTCCTCATTTCTCAATCCCTATACATTGTTTTCTAAAAAACATCAACACCATATTATTACTTGGAAATACCTTTCAGTGGTACAGAGATTCCTTCATCTGTGATCTATAAAAGAAAGAGGGAAAACACTGCATTAAGAGAAAAGCCAAACATGGACGGGACAACAAAAGGCTTAAACAAAGTCAGTCCATTTAACAGATTGAAGATATAAAAGAGTCATTCTGCTGTTATTCTGCCACAGATGGAAAAGCAGAAAAGAACACAGTCACATAAAAAAGTGGTCAATGAACCCAAACCAGAGCAGAGGACGTTCAGGCTGGGATTGGTTCTGATAAAGACAACAAACGCTTGACACTTTCTCTCTGTTCTTGAGCTTCCTCGCTGCCTACACTGGCAGTTTGTTTTTCAAATGATGCTGATGCCAAACTATACGCATTAATATTCGACATGAAGCAGGATACATGTATAGAATAGACAAAATGTGTGTTAAATATAGAGGTGTGTAACAAGGCATTTATTTTCTTGATAAGATAAGAATGAATGAAAGGTCTCAATATTTCAATATTAAAATAGGACTTTTAAATCTTAACTTGTTTATGTAAGGAAAAAATGTATTTTCTGTATTTGTTAGTGCACAAAATTTAAATTATATAATTGACATGGAAAATAAATCAATTATTTGACATGCGCCAATTAATGATGACATGGAATTCACATTGAATTGAATAATTTTGAATTTGCAAAAATGACTTGTGATCAGGGAATCATGAATTGATTGACAAAATAATCACATTTTTTTAAATAGTTTTATTTAAAAATAATGTAACTATTATTTTAAACTACTTTGTGTATCTGTAATAAACACATAAAAAAATTCTACCATGTTTATTTTTACTGAGATCATATTTTGTATATACTATTTTTATTATTATCATTATCCACCATCTTGGATGTTTTTTTACTGAGATCATATTTTTATATACTATTTTTATTATTATCCACCCTCTTGGATGTTTTTACTGAGATCATATTTTTTATATACTATTTTTATTATTATCATTATTTGAGGTACCATCTTGGATGTTTTTTTTTTTTACTGAGATCATATTTTTATATTATTATTATTATTCACACTAATGAAATGTTTATATTATTATACATATTTAACACACATGTATACAATTATATTATTTAGATATATATCTCGTTTATTTACAACCTTGTTTCACACTGTTTTGGGTTGTGATATATATATACACTCACCGGCCACTTTATTAGGTACCCCATGCTAGTAACGGGTTGGACCCCCTTTTGCCTTCAGAACTGCCTCAATTCTTCGTGGCATAGATTCAACAAGGTGCTGGAAGCATTCCTCAGGGAGTTTGGTCCATATTGACATGATGGCATCACACAGTTGCCGCAGATTTGTCGGCTGCACATCCATGATGCGAATCTCCCGTTCCACCACATCCCAAAGATGCTCTATTGGGTTGAGATCTGGTGACTGTGGAGGCCATTTTAGTACAGTGAACTCATTGTCATGTTCAAGAAACCAATTTGAAATGATTAGAGCTTTGTGACATGGTGGAAGTAGCCATCAGAGGACATGGTGGCCATAAAGGGATGGACATGGTCAGAAACAATGCTCAGGTAGGCCGTGGCATTTAAACGATGCCCAATTGGCACTAAGGGGCCTAAAGTGTGCCAGGAAAACATCCCCCACACCATTACACCACCACCACCAGCCTGCACAGTGGTAACAAGGCATGATGGTTCCATGTTCTCATTCTGTTTACGCCAAATTCTGACTCTAACATCTGAATGTCTCAACAGAAATCGAGACTCATCAGACCAGGCAACATTTTTCCAGTCTTCAACTGTTCAATTTTGGTGAGCTCTTGCAAATTGTAGCCTCTTTTTCCTATTTGTAGTGGAGATGAGTGGTACCCGGTGGAGTCTTCTGCTGTTGTAGCCCATCCGCCTCAAGGTTGTGCGTGTTGTGGCTTCACAAATGCTTTGCTGCATACCTCGGTTGTAACGAGTGGTTATTTCAGTCACTGTTGCCCTTCTATCAGCTCGAACCAGTCTGGCCATTCTCCTCTGACCTCTGGCATCAACAAGGCATTTCCGCCCACAGAACTGCCGCTCACTGGATGTTTTTTCTTTTTCGGACCATTCTCTGTAAACCCTAGAGATGGTTGTGCGTGAAAATCCCAGTAGATTAGCAGTTTCTGAAATACTCAGACCAGCCCTTCTGGCACCAACAATCATGCCACGTTCAAAGTCACTCAAATCACCTTTCTTCCCCATACTGATGCTCGGTTTGAACTGCAGGAGATTGTCTTGACCATGTCTACATGCCTAAATGCACTGAGTTGCCGCCATGTGATTGGCTGCTTAGAAATTAAGTGTTAACGAGCAGTTGGACAGGTGTACCTAATAAAGTGGCCGGTGAGTGTATATATATATATATATATATATATATATATATATATATATATGTGTGTGTGTGTGTGTGTATGTGTGTATGTGTGTATGTGTGTGTGTGTGTGTGTGTGTGTGTGTGTGTGTGTGTGTGTGTGTGTGTGTGTATAAAATGTACAAATTTGTTTACTTTTTTTAAAAATGTAATCTTTTCTAAAGGTTTAATAGACAGGTTGATTTTTAATTCTTAGACTGTTTTGTTCAGGCTTCACATGGTAAATAGAGGCAGCTCTCTAGGTTTTGGAAAAGAGATAGTGCCCTGTTAAGCACATCATAAACACATCCTAAACAAACCGTCCTCTTCATGAGACCTTAACTATTGCTTAATGGCTTGTAAAGAGAGAAGTAAACCCCCTGAAAATAACACTGTCATGTGCTGTTGAAGCATTACAGGACAAACAGTGAAAAGCGGTGCAGTTCTCCACGGTCAGGGCCAGTTTAGGTTACAGCCGTCGTTGTTGTCCTAATCAAAACTGCTTTCTGCCGCTCTGCAGTGTTTGGGGTTTAACAGTTGGAATTTTCTGGCAAACAACGGTTTCGTTGGTCTCTTAATCACATCTGCAGACCCACGTCGACTAGCTGTTGTTCTGTGGTTTGTAGCACGACCGGCCAATTAAAATACTGGAATAACAGATGTCCTTCATTAAACAAACAACAACAAAAATCGAAGTGCGTGATTGGCCAATGTGCAGGACGAAAGTGCTGGAAGCATGTGTTGGAAAATGAACCAGAGAGAACTGGAAGATCCACCAGATAAGAGAAATGAAGGGGTCATGACATGTACTTTTTTTATTTTAATGTTGCTTGAGGTTCACAAAAAAAACAAAAATGCGGAGAAACTAGGATTTCCAGACCCTCTGTTTGAAATGATCCATTTTTAAAGGGACAGTTCACCCAAATATAAAAATTAGCCCATGATTTACTCACCCTCAAGTCATCCTAGGTGTATATGACTTTCTAATTTTCATTTTTGGGTGAACTATCCCTTTAAGAGGCGGCTCTTCTAAGGCTTATCAGTATGTAAATACCTCTAATATGTCAAAAGATCATATCATGACCCCTTTAAGATCTTCCCGGCTGATGTAAAATGGAATGATATTATCAGCACAAGACTTTCTCACCACAACGGTCCCGTTAGCCCGTGCCTCGACTGTGTCGTAATGAAGTCTGGTGAAGTCCAGCTCCATGATGGAAGGCACTTCTACTTTGGTCGTTGATCTTTCACCTCCTGCGATTGCCTTTGGGCTCTTTTGGTTCCCTGACTGAAGCGTGAAGAAAGAGAAAGTCATCAGAGAGAGAAAGAGAGAGAGAAAAAAAGAGACCTTTACTTGTTAGCTACAACATTGTTCGTGTACATAGACAAACATTTGGCCAGAAATATGGCTCAAGTTTTTAAAAACTTCAATGACCTTGAAAATGACTTGCTTTTGATACATTATTTAAACCTATTATTATTGCCTCGTTGTTATTACAGTATATATGCATTTCAAGACATTTTAAAGGCTATTCAGTTAGGTCTATTTTTATTATCATTAACATATTATCCAATTCTTCAATTAATTGCCAAATTAATTGTTGACAGTCGTAGATTAGTTAAATTTGATTTAAAATGCACCTGCATTGTTTTGCTTTTTTGACTTTCAGTCGAAAATTTTTTCATTGAAGATTTCTAATAGTGTTTCTTAAAAATATCGTCTCGTTCTCGTGAACCCAATAGTGTGTATCGTCTCGTCTCATCTGTAAATTGCACCACGGTGACTCGCTGTCGTCTGAATTGTGTTATTCTCATTTTCCTTGCACGTAACGGAAATAAACAAAACCTGCTTTTCTTGACATTACGAAAGACAAAAGCACAGCGTGTTTCTCATTTCGTCAGCATGTCAAACTGAAGGTGAATGCACTAACTGATATTGACAAACACCTGAGTCGTATTGCTCAAGCCTCAAACATCCCGAGCCTTGTGATCGAGAGCCCAAAGCTTCTCTCAAAGGCGTTTCGAGTTCAGAATTGAGCACAAATCCCAAAATGCTGCGTTCCAAACATACCAGGGAGCCACAATGGATTTGTTCACCTGTCACGAAAAACAATGCTAACTGAAGATGTGTTCAGCTTGGACTAACAGTTCTAACCATTCTGACAATGGGCATTTGTTGAAAGAGTTTGGTGAATCGTTGTTAAATTAAGACAAATTCGAAACTCCACAACCATACTGAAGAAATCTAGACTTCAAAAGACAGATGTTCATGATTCTCCGGCATGGTTTCAAAGCTTCTTTAAGTGAAGAGTTACACACAAACGGGAGTATGTTAGGATAACGCTGACGGGGACATTTAAAGATCAATAAATGACGTACCATGTTTACGATTCCACATTGATTAGCTATTCTGCCACAGAAAAGTATGATTCACTACTGTTCGAAAGTTTGGGGTTAGACAGATTTTTTTTTTTTCTTTATTGAAAGAAATTAATACTTTTATTCAGCAAGGATGCATTACATTGATAAAAAACTGACAGTAAAAACGTTTATAATGTTACAACATGTTCTTTTGAACTTTCTATTCATCAAAGAATCCTGTGAAAAGTTTCCATAAAAATATAAAGTAGCGGAACTTTTCAACAATGATAATAATAATCAGAAATGTTGAGCATCAAATCAGCATATTAGAATGATTTCTGAAGGATCATGTGACACTGAAGACTGGAGTAATGATGCTGAAAATTCAGCTTTGATCACAGGAATAAATTACATTTTAAAAAATTCTAAAATAGAAAATACGTATTTGAAATTATAATAATATTTATGACTAATATTCTAATATATGTAACTATTTTCACTGTATTTTTGCTAAAAATTAATGCAGCCTTGGTGAGAGACTCCTACCGACCTCTACCTTTTTTAAATCGTAAACTGAAAGACAATAGAAAATATCAACATGCTTTTACATTATGAACATGCTTTTATTTTCAATGTAAAGGTGTTTATTTTCAACATGTTAATGCATTCAGTTTCTTTTTAGGAAAACTATATTCTATGTTTACATCATGTATGAGAAATGTAAATATGATACGACCCAGTTTGTCATTTTAGAAAACAATAAATCTAACGTTGGACAGGTGTGTCATGGTGTTCCTCAGGGGTCTGTCCTTGGCCCAATACTTTTTAATATTTACATGCTTCCATTGGGGCAGATTATTAGAAAGCATGGTTTGGGGTTCCACTTCCGCTAATGTTTCGCCTAATGAGTTTGGCTGGTAGGTGGCATTTTTAAGAGGACCTGTTATGCTTTTTTATATTTACAGCTTTCTATAGTGTGTAATGTTGCCGTTCTGCAAAGTTACGAAGCAAAAAGTCACTGCAAAAGGAGTTCTTCTCTATATCTCCCTGAAACGCCTTAGTCTTGAGTTTTCTTCTGGGAACAAACACGTCACAATATTCGTTATTTAAGTAATACGCAAAATAAAATGGCGAGGCCTGTTTGAGTTAGTTAGTAGTGTATTAAAACTCGTGGTTATGGCAAGGGTGTGGCATTTCCCAAACACGCTCGAAACAGTTGACCAATCACAACACACTGGTCCAGTCGACCAATCAGAGCACATTGTGTTTTCAGCTTCATCGAGACAGGAACTAAACAGAGCGTTACTGACAGACTGGGAAGAGACAGAGGAGCTGCAACAATGTCAAATATGTGAAAAATACTGTGTTTTTTTAACATTGGAGCATGAAAAAATAGATCCCAAAATCAAGACTTTGTAAAAGTCTATGTATAATTATGGCCTCTTTAATTCTTGAGTGTCAATAATAAATGTCACCAGATATTACTTTTGTTTAGCATCCCGGCTGGGTTTGATTCATAAATAAACTATTTGTAAAATAAATAGGGACTTTTGTAATCAGAAAGTGAGCGCTAAATGAATAAAAACAATGTTCGTTACATACAGTTATTAACTTGAACAGGGACATGTCTTAAATCTACACCTATTCTTTATCCGTTACCTGAGCGTCCCTGATCCCCTCAGAGATCCGCTGCTCTTGCAAACTTCCAGAGACGTCATTCATCTCATCGGCTCCTTCATCATCGCTGGACAGCACGACTGAAGGGGAAAGAGATTGACCAATCAGAAGCAAGGACCAGAACTATGCCTTTGAACGAGAGCTCGGATGTTCTTGCTTCCATTGAAGCACACAGGATGTTCTTTGAAACACGAATCAAAAGGTTTTGCACATCATATGCAGATAATATAATTTGCGATGAAAACTTTTTATATTAAATTAGGAACGAATGAAGAATAGAAGCAGTGGTCTCAGACTTCTGGACCACACCGCACGTGTCTAAACGCTCTGGACGACAAATAAAACAAACTTCAGGCCTCCTAGATAAACTTCTGATGCTACATTTTCCAATGAGGTAAATGCGAGTCTTGACAGATGTTTCCTTCAGTAAACAGTTTGTATGTGTATTTGAAAAGTTCACATGATTTACATCATCGAGGGTCAAATGATCGTTTTTACACTGTGTTCTTACAATTCAATATTATGTTTCTAATAAAATTACCGGCCAATTTTTACTTGCATTTGGCGCTTGATGGGTGTTAATTTTGGACCATGTTTTTATCTTTTTCTCTGTAGCAGAAGCTTCTCTTTGGCTGGGTCCCATAATGGGCTTTGGGAGAGAAACGGGGACATGGGTAATCCTCTCTCTTTTTTTTCATCCTTCACCTCCTTCCCTTCCTCTTCCTGTCTACCAATTCATCAGAAAACAATAACAAATTCAATGTCGCCCATCTGGTTTTGCTACATTAAAAATGGCTCGAATTGGACATATTTGCAAACTAAGTGGACATTTGTTAGCCGTTCGAATCAATCCATTCAAATCCTCTTTGTCAGATCATCACTAGAGGAAAAAATGAATGTGAACTAAAGCTGTTAAGAATGGAAAAACACCATAAAACTAGTCTTATGAAGCCATACGATTGGATTGGAGGAAAAACTACCGACATTTTGAAAGAATAACTATTTTAGGCCAGATCTTTTCAATGAATCAGTTGATATGGTTCACAAAACCAGTCTGAATGAACTCATTGACTTAAAGATCCAGACAGGAACAGAAGATTATCAGTGAAGAATGAAGCTGTTTCTCAAACAAGGCTATTTTAAGACTTCAGAAGTTTTGGAACAATGTGAAGGTGCATAATTAATGACAGAATTAAGTTTTTTTTGGGTGAACTATTCCTTTAACGGCTACTAAGTCCTAGCTGATCATGAGGAGGAGGACGGTACATATGCGCTCCTCTCTAGCAGACAGAGGTGTAATGGGCTTTACTCAGACCTTGAGGTCAGGATTGTAGTAATCTAGATTGTGAGAGTGAATGTTGCTATTCTGCACACCTCACACTTAAAGACATTAATCTTTATAAGGTCATCCTTCATCCAATGACAGCTCAGAACAGACCAGACGCCACCTCCAAGTGCAATGGGACCGTCCGTCTCGGAAAAGACTTTTTTTTTTTTTTTTTTTTTTTACAAGTTGGGTTAATTCAGTTTCACTCTCTTTTTTACGTTCACACTTAATCTGCATTTCTAAATCCAGATTCCACTTTGTGCATTGGTGGAAGTTTACTAATTTATTTAGGGATGCACTATATACTATATGTTTAGGGTGTTGGTTGAGGAGATTCCCCCTTTCATATGTTATATAGATGTAACAAATTATTTATTATAATCAATTATATATATGTTCAATAGCAGTTATCACAAATAGGCTTCTTTTGTTACCCGTTAGGTTAATTCAGTTTCACTTTCTTTTTAAGTTAATCTTTAGAAACACCAATGATTTTATAACACTGTTAAATGTAATCTTTAACAAATCTCAAGATGAATATCCATTTTTATAATGTAAATTATAATGTTGTGATGCCTAAATTCACTTGTAGCATTTATTGATTTTACTTTTTAGATTTTTAGCCACAATACTAAAAAAAAAAATATGATATGATGAGCTTATCGTATTTGTCAGAATAAAAGTAATTTTGGTGCATCTTAATTTCTATTTATTATTATTATTACTTACTATTAAATTTTAACAATCCCCTAAACCAAAGTTCTTTGATGGCACAAGTCATATCTGGGGTCTAAATTTGTCATGAAGACTTGAAGTTTTGGACTTGGGCAAGTAAGCAACCACCCAGATCACCATAGCAATTTCACAGCAAAGTTCTGGAAACTCCCTGTGGTTACGAGTTTTGCACAGGCAAGCAACATTCACATTGTTGTTAGAAAATGTACATATCTAGTTGGTTGGAGTTATTTTGACCTCCTGACCGTTTCCAAGAACAAATCTGGTGCCTCTGTCAATCAGTGTGTTTAAGAAACACATCTTCCATTAAAGGAAAAGGCAGCAAGTTGACTTTTTTCAAGTGTTTATGGGGTAAGCTGGCATACACAGCATGCACAAGCTGTTAAACAAACTACCCAGCACCCTGGAGGGTAAGAAAGTTTAAATAAGGCTAGTTTGCCCTCAATGTTTGAGAAGTGGTGGAAAGAGTCAAATAAAAAAACAAACAAACAAACGTACTTGGCTCTGTGGACCTGGGCTTGGTTCTCTTGTAGGTCGCGCAGAACCCGTGGGGCTTCCTCCTCAATCTGTTGCTGTAAACAGACCCAAAGGGGTCTTTACTCTTGGCCTCTGGTGGGGAAATCAGCAGGTCTTTTTTAACAGGCACAGAGGTGGTAGCTCTTTCTCCAGAGGACCTGAGATGCCTAGTTCGAGCTTCCTGAACGTTGTGGCCTGAATGGAGGCTGGATCCGTGATTGGACGGTTTGGAAACAGATTCTTCATTCGACACATTTCCATTCTTGTTTTTGCTTGCTGCATTCTGGGGTCAAAATGCAAGGGACAACAAAGAATAAAGTGGTCACAGGTGGCATGAAGGCTCCTTTTGAAATATCTAATATTTTAATATTTATTAGGTAACATGACTGAACGCTTCAGAAAGGCTACAAAGCAACTTGAACGGTAGAACTATCCCTTTAATATTTATGACCTAAGACTTTGCAATATTTGTAATATTGCCATAAGTTCCCATTACAAGCTAATGAATATTTAAGAAGCCCTACTATGATAAAGGCTCAGATTATGAATATTAAGTAACAGGGCTGGAGGGTTCATCATCACATCAGTATGACATCATGTATATTTATGAGCCAATACTTGAAGTCCTTTCAAATCCTTCTATGGTGAAGGTATGCTTCATGAATATTAATTAGGTAACATGACTGGATGGTCAGTGTGACCTCATTTACATTTATATGCCAAGACATTGTTCTGGATGCACTAGGATGGTTAAAAAGCAACGTCAGACCTAATTAATATTTATTAGTCGACTTTTCCATGGTAGGATATGTAAATTCACAGCCAGTGTACCAAGGACGTTATGACCCAAGGCATATTTACAACCCTTACTTAAGGATTAAATCAAGAATATTATCTACATACTTCAGGAAATTTACGAGGCAACCTCAGGATAACCTAATTTATATTTATGAGCCAAAACTGCGTCATAGTTCATTTTTCATGTAGCAACATTGCTTTGAACCAACTAATATTTACAAGTCCTATTATGGTGAACGTTTGGTTAATGAATGTTAATTAGCTAACCCGACAGGGTGGTCCAGGAAGGTTATTATGCAAATTAAGCGCGAAACTGATGACATTGTACAAGTAGCTATGACATAATCAGATAGCCTTAATTAATATTCATGAGCTAGGGCTTTACCATGAACTGTATTATGTAAAAATAGTGGCTCATAAATATAAATTAGTTCAAACTGACGTTCCCTCATGGGTACAATGGTTAATTCATGATTACTGGTTATGTAACATGACTGGATGCTCCAGTAAACAACACCGGTATCTAATTAATATTCATTAGCTAAGACTTCACCATAGAAAGGTACGTTATTGAGATCTGGACATGACTGGCTTTCACTGAATGAGAAGAACACCATCTCACCTCAGAGAGGCCACAAACAGAACCCGTGGGCTTTAATTTGCGGTCAGTCTGCGAGACGTGATCCAGGTCCTCTGGAGTAGACGACCGCGACGTCTCCTTCGCCGGAGAACTGCCTTGTGTCTCTTCCGTTTCTTCATCCTCATGGAAAAGCCCACACGCCTCCAGTTGCCCCGGATCCAGGCCTAACAAGATGGAATGATGGAGAACTTGGTTAAATAAAAAAATAAAAAAAGAAGAAGAAAATTCTGGGACTTTACAAGCAGCACATAACCTTCTCCTAACGACTTTTACGCACTCTCCAGTACATATAAACTGGCCTTATTGAGCAAATATCATTCCTCCACCTTGGTGGAGGTCACATCAGCCATGAAACGGGGCTAAATCGCCCAAATCCCCAGAGACGTGGAACTAGACAGAGTATAAGCGAGAGGGCCAGCAAGAAAGAGAGCAGCAGGACCATTTTAACAGATCCATAAAGTTAAGCATTTGTTTATTTATCAGCGATCCGAAGCCAGGAAAACTCTGATGCCGTCCAATATTATGCAGAGCAGGGAGTGAAGGAGGGTCAAAGGAAAGGAGACAGCTGCGAGATGTTAAACATACCGCCTGAAGCACAATGGAGGGAAAGAAGAGAGAGACAAAGCTGATCATTAAGGTACTTAGAGATGCAGAGACTTAGCAAAGCCCAAAAACTGAGCATTTTCCCTCATTAGCTTCTTGATATAATCTACATCAGATATCTCAGCCAAAGTTTACAGTTTACTTTAACTGCTTATTTAGTTTAACGATCCAACTCATTAGGGAGAAACCAAAGTCTCTTTCTGAATTACGCAGGAACAGTCATGCTATATCATGTTTGTGTTTTTGGCAAGAATCAGTATATAGGTCAATTTTAGTTTTAATTTATGGTTACATTTATATATTTTCTGAAGATTGTGGTGTACACGTGCAAAGCTGAGTGCCACAGTTCTAAAGTGGTTGCCAAGTCATAAAAAGGTGTATGTAATAAAATATATAATAAATGATTTAAACAACACTTTTATTAATAATATTTTATTATATAAATATTTTAAATTGTGCATGTTAATAGGACAGTATAACTATTAAACTATATATATATATATATATATATATATATATATTATTTATGCTATCTACACCTTGACTTGTATTATATATAAGTATATATTTAAAATATATATATATTATATATGCATATAAATACAATTAACTACATATGTATTATTTATTAAAAATATATATAAATAAATGTATAGTAAAATAAATGTTCAAAAAGTGGAAAAGAGAAAGTGAAATCAAGATTGAATGTGAATCTAAGAAAAGAGTGAAACCGAATTAACCCGACCAGTGAGAAGAAAAACCTTACAAACCAAGATGGTTTTGCTCGTTCATTAGAAGCCTAAAAGCCATACAGCGCTTGCGAAGATGTATCGGTCTTATTATCGTTAATAAAAGGGTATGTTTACACGAGAACGATGCACTAAAATGGAAACGTTTTTTTCTTTGCACTTTGAAACCCATTTTCAAAACTTTTCAGGCCCCCAAAATGGCATTGTCGGGCAAAAACGCAATAAAAAGTAAATAAATTAACAGAAATAAAATAAAATATACATTTTGTAAGCAATATTTCAGTTAGTTTCAAAAGCAACATTTCTAGTTTTCATTTAGTTTAAGTTGCATAGTAAAATTAAGTAAAATTACAAGTGCTGTCACATCGATTAATCGCATATGACATAAAGATTGTCTTCTATATATATTATTTATATATGTCTATGGGTGTGTGTGTGTGTGTGTGTGTGCGTGTGTCTGTGTATAATATAGTAATACATACACACACATATATTACGTAAACAAAAACTTTTATGTTAGACGCGATTTATCGCGATTAATCGATTTGACAGCACTAAAAATTATTAAAACTAAAATTGTGGGGGGGGGGGGGGATAATAAAACCTTATTATTTAAATAAAAACACATTCAAAATATTATGACCTACTACAATAATATATTATTGATCCTAAAATAACACAGGGATGTACCTCTACGAATCTTGAACGAGCTTTCAGACGCCCCCGAATGGTTCTCATCATGGCAGAGAAGAGTATCCGATGCTCGTTTGGGTCTCCAACTGAAACACACACACACATGTTATAAAACCCACTAGATCATACCAATATCTCCTTCTCTGGACCATGTGCACTAACCGCCACACCATGGTTCAGATTCCCACCTGCTATTTCCTGGGAAGTCTCTCCCTGCGGTGGGGGTTTGACATCGGGGTCTGAAACCGGTCGTCTCGGACACCTTATTAGGCGTCCCGTTAACTCGAAGAGGGCTGATTTTTATTGGCTGTTTGTTCATTTTAAAAGTAAACAGTCCACGTGTGGCTCCTTTGGGAAGGTTATCGGAGCAGGTGCGCGTGACGCGGCCTGGCGTCCGTGCGTCAGGTGAAAGATCCGGTCTCTCACCGCTGAGGGATGGCCTGATGGGTCTGAAACAGAACAAAAATGGAGACAAATACAAATAAAATGAGCCGTTATGCAATTGATAATGATATTTTGCTCTTTAAATGTGGCTCATATACTTGTTACAATGTACTGTAAGTCTGACTACTTGAACATTGCAAACCTAGGTTTAATACTTAGGGTTAGGGATTGTTTCAAATCTTTCGGCTCAGCTGTCCTCAGCAAACGCCAGTATCAAAGTAAATAAACAGCTCCATCTAGTGATGGTTTATATGAAGTCTTACCTCACCGATTCACTCCTCTGTCCGTCTTTTGACAGCATATTTCCATTAGAACTGGATTTATGAAGCGTTCTTCCATTAAGAGTGGTTGAACCCCATTGCATCTGTTGAACGAGAAATGTTTGAAGAGCAAAAGGAGTGGATTTACATTAGTTTTTGACTTATAGGAGCTTTATTCTCTCAGATGAGACTGTAAATGGAGAATTTGTATTGGATGATTATATGGACATTTGTTTATTAGTGTATATGATGTTGTCATTACCTTGTGTGTGTTGCTGTCCTGCAGTCGAGACAGTGGAGACTGCATGTCAAGACTGCATGAATCTGACGGCTGCTTCTTTTTGGGGATTTTGAACGGGACATCCATCTGCAAAAAAGTACACTAATTGTTAGGATTTTCAAGTCATAATGTATTTGTAACTCAGTTCACTTTTACACCATGATAAATCAACTTTATACACTATTACAGACGTATAAAGACGTATAATTTGTATAAACAGGGTTTCTGGAGGTTTTAAATGTCTAAAAGACTTTTTTTTAAGAACAAGTTAAGAACATTTAAGGAATAAATTGAAGGATTTAAAGAAAAATTGAACAATTCTCAAAATGCAAACGTCTAGGAAGCACACAATGAGTTGACAAAACTTCCAACAGATCTTCAATACTTTTAAATTATTTTACAATAGAATATTCCACTAGAATATGGGAATAGCCATAACTTTTAGTGTGCCTGCAATAAAAAACAAAAAAAAAATTTGTTCCAGTACAAATGTCTAAAGATTCATATTTCAAAGTACATTTACTTGAGAATCAACCAAACCAATATGGTTAAAAAGGTCATACCCCACTGACAGATATTAGTATTTGATTTAAGCATAAACTCACTTCATTTTGATATATTTCTCAGAAAACAAGACTTCATATCTTCATTTTGCATCTCAAGTAAATGTATCGGGATATAAGGATATTAAATGATATCTGTATAGGAAAATAAGTCAAAAACACTGAAGATGATATAAAAAATGTTTGCAGCGCAAGCAACATTTAATGCCAGGAATTTATGAATTTAAGACTTTCTGCCTTAATTTGTGCGGATTAAGACCTTTAAGACCCTGATAAGACTTTCTCAATAAATGTTTTAATTTATTTTCTTAGTGTTTCCCAAACCTGTTTTTTTTTACACTAAACCATAAATGTGTTTCTCTGAACTCAAATTATACTTGATATTGTTTAAGATTATGCACTATTATTGACTATTACAGTCAATTATTACTATGAATCACTTTCGAAAATAAAAACAAACTTAAGTTTTACAAATAAAATAAGTTCTTAAATAAAAATACAGATATTCTGCGACAATTTACACATACTTTACACATACAGTTTGATCTTTAAAAAGGTACTGAGTGTTCTAAGTACAAAAAGAAATAAATAATAATAATAATTATATTAATTGTCATATTGGCAGCCTTAATATTTTAAGTTCGTACTTTATTTTTACAAACCAAATGTATATACAAAATTTAAGTCTTTCCAAATAGCTCAGGTTTGTGATCACTGTTTGGTCTTCCATAATTATTATTCATGCAGATTTTGATTTAGAAATTAGGCTAGTGTACTTCATCTGTACGTAAACAACAGTGACCAAACCTGTGAAATATACTGTATCAGGACAATCCAGTAACCTTAAACGTCCTTAAATCCCTCATTCGCATGGGGTTGAGATTTTGAAGACTGTTTAGATGTTTACATGCCCACCTGACAACCAAAACTGCTAGTCACTAATCAAACACAGATTCGAGTATAAAACACCATGCACGAGCTAATCTTATATAATAGAAATAATTATGATAATATAAGTCTCTAGAACCTCTAGATCATGAACGTGATTAATAGCAAACAGTTTAAGCTTTTAGCATTGGCTGTTCAACTCCAGGGCCATTAATATTAACGTTACACATCTGAGCTGATATGGGTCTTATAAGCTTCATAAATGCCATACTTACAGCACACACCTGTCTGAGACTCGCTCTATAAATATCAGGCATGGGCTATGAACGGGTAAAGGCACTGATAAATCATTCTGGTCAGCAGAATATCAATAAGTGCACTAAGAAGTGAGCATCCCTCTTTCTGTTTATGTCCGACGTTTTTTCCCCGATTCTTCTTCTTCTTCTGCAGTTGAAAGATGTGGCGGGTAAATAATCGGAATCGTTATTGCGCCATCTGGTGTTCAGCTGGAGGTACAGAACCAAGCGTCATTTGTTTGTCAGCGTTTGTTTCTAATACATTCAAATAAATCTGAAGATTATATTATACCAATCTAATTATACGGGGAATCAAGAATTTCCAACTTTTAATGAGACATTTTTTCTTATGTATAATGCTCCACCTTTGTTGGCATATAGGACATATCAGCAAACTTATCAAAACGGATTACATTTATGTAGGCCTATGTATTTTTTGTAAGAATTTCATTTGAAATATATTTTGAATAGCTTGATAGCAGGTTTATTATAGTTCGTTAAAAAACTAAAGCTGAAACTAAAATTAAGACCAATTCAAAAATGGTTTTGTAACTTAAAAATAAAATAAACGTTAAATCAAATAAAATAATATTTTAAAAAAGTATTTTTTAAATACTTAAAAAATAAGTATTTAAGTATTTAAATACTTAAATACTTAAATACTTTAATACCCCCCCCCCTCCCCCTCCCCCTCCCCCTCCCCCTCCCCCTCCCCCTCCCCACTATTTCCCAATGTAAGATTTTGCTTTGCATTGCCTGCCTATCTCTGCCGATTTCGGAGTCTCCAAATTAATCCATTCGGCAACTTTTAAATACATAAAAAACGGCCGTATTCTTCAGCTGCTAATCTCGTTGTCAGTCGACCATGATCGCGCACCGCTCGCGCATGCGCATCTAGGTGACACGGATAAATGTATGAGTGTTGTTGTGCCGAATTTCGACTCCCTGCCAGAATCTGACTCCCCCTCGCGTGCACGCGCAATGACGTCACTACACTAGTCGCCGAATTTCGACTCCCTGCCAGAATCTGACTCCCCCTCGCGTGCACGCGCAATGACGTCGGTGCGACTGTTTTATTTTTCGTCTGTTTGTGTTACTTATTCTTACTTACATATACTGAATTTTTTAACATATTTGGGATTCCAATATCTCCACGAGAATACAGTATTGTTTTTGATGCTATACCAGTAGGTTTTTTGAGACTCTTGAGAGGCAGTAGTGAACCTCATAAGCAATCAATGGACAAAAAAACAGGTTACGTCTCAACAATACGTCATTCGACGCTATGGGGGAACGCCTCAGGCGTGACAGGTGTCTGAAATCACTATCAAAGTGATTTTTGAGACTTTATTTTGTAAAATATTTGTATTACCCAGAAATATTTTATTCTGGCAGGGAGTCGAAATTCGCCGACTAGTGTGTTGACGTCATTGCGCGTGCACGCGAGGGGGAGTCAGATTCTGGCAGGGAGTCGAAATTCGGCACAACACCTGTTTATTAGCAAACTGCCAAGAGAACTGCTAGCTGGCTACTTAAAATAAACTAGCAATCTATTCAGGCAGCATATTTGTGTTTGATCTGTGTGAATTACAGAAATATAGCCTAAGACTTGCTAGACCTACTTTTAGCTGCAAGGAACCTTTCCACAAGGATAGATGGATTTTATTTTTCAATCTATCCTTGGGGGGTAAGCTAGGTGGTTAATGGAAATTAAATCAACCATTTATTTGAGTTTTTAATTTTAGTTAATCAGTACATAAATAACAGTAATGTAAATGCTAAATGTCCTAATACCTGTTGATACTACAACAATGCAAAGCTGAAAGCTCTTAACCTTGCAGTTTTTCACATATTATGTAAGACTCATTTTCTCAATTTCTTTGCACAAAACTCTCCAGAAAGTGCCATTTAATGGTTTATTTATATATATATATATATATATATATATATATGTGTGTGTGTGTGTGTGTGTGTGTGTGTTACTGATTTTATTGTGTCCGTTATGTGTTCGTTTTTGCAGTGTGGCTCATCTGATTTTTATTTTAGATGAAGGTAAGCATTTTAAATTAAAGTATTCAAAAATTAAACAAACAATGCCTTTGCCTATAACAAACACACGGTCACATACAAAACTTAGTAAAACATAGTATAATTTATATATTTTTATTCATATAATTTTATTATTTATTTTACAAAAAATAAATAGATATAAATATTTGATATATGATATATACAATAGATATATTTACTATAACTAAGATATCAAACTATTTAAAGAGATGAAAATAACAACAAAGAAACCAAAGAACGAACTGCGCATGCGTGAGTAAATGGAAATTATGGGCACGGTTCATTGTTAAATTCCAGCTGAAATTTCAGCTTAATTCCTCCAATAACTATCTATTTGCATTATTATAAATTTCTACATCATGTTCAAAAGGTACGTTGTGGTGAAATTGTCGTCGTATACAGCAGTAGAGATCTTTATCCTCTGGCCTTCAGAACAGTGGCGCATTGTTAGGATTAACGTTAGCTGGATGCTAGCTGCTTCAGTCAGTAGTATATCTGTAAATGTTCCTACATTTACGATGATAACGTGTCCTAAATATTCCCAGCAACGGATAAATGTAATTTCCAATTAGTACGTTAAAAAAATCGTCCGTCTGTTTGCGCAGTTATGTCTAACGTTAACTTACATAAGCTGTTATTTCTTATAACTAGCTTGCCAGGCTACTTAAACATAAACCAGCTGGAATTCATGAAAAGTAAATTAAATTATATCGAATATATTTATGGCTATAGCATATTACTTATTGTATGTCGTGCTGCAATAGTTTGTGTTTGTATTATTATTATATCTGACGTCAAACGGCACCTGTTGCATCTAATGTCAGATCAATTCATTCATATATATATATATATATATATATATATATATATATATATAGATGAATACAATAATTGTATTGTATAATGCAAGAATCTGGTTTAAAAGATTTTAAATTATATAAATAAACCGTTGTCGATTACCATTGGTGTAAATATATATAAATGTCAAACTGACAGAATTTCTGCACAAAACAACTGCTACATTATCTTCACACTTCTATAAAAGCTGCCTGTCAATATAAACTGCACTACTAGAGGTTTCATCACCCACTTTTGTCATCGTAAATGACGTTTTGTTGACCTGTGTGTCGCTGCGACACCTGTTGTTAAAGTCTCAGTCCCCTCAGGAAAATTTCTATTTCTAACTAGTACCCTGAGGCATATCTTTAATATTGGGAATAGTAGTTATCACAGTTTAATGTTTCTGTGTGACTGTTTTTGTGTTTGTTTTTTGCAGTGTGTTGCTCATCTGTTTCTTTATACTAGTTTTGAATGAAGGTAAGCACATAATATTGCAGATATTTATTTGAATCAGCTTGGAAGTCAACATTGAATTATGTTCATGGTCTGTCTCTGCTTTTGTTTCAGCATCTGTGCCGAAAACCGTTCAGGTTTTTATCGGAGATTCTGTAGTTTTGCCGTGTCATTCTCCCAGGCAACTTACTCTATTTACTGCATACTGGAGATATGAGGACAGCAAGAATGTTTATGACATACAAGATGGCATAGGGTTGACTAAGGAGCAGGACCCAGTGTACAAAAGCAGAACTGAAAGTTTTCCTGCCGAATATTCAAAAGGAAACTTCTCCCTCAAACTTAGGAAACTTCAGAATATTGATGCAGGGTCGTTCTGCTGCTTCCTCCCTGAATTTAATTCTCTTCAAATATGCACAGTGCTTCAAGTCAAAGGTGCGATGATTTGGTTAGCATTATTAACTCTTAAAATTCTTCATGTTAAACATCAGTAATTGGGACTTGGCGAAGTGAAGTGAATATAAATGTTTAATGTTCAGACTAAAAGACAACTGCACAGTGAGCTGTTCGTAGGTTTATGTCCTGAATGTAAACACTGGGGTTTGGTGGCACTCATAATAAATCAAATAAGAAATAAGCTGTTTAGTGAGGAGGAAGTGTACTGTGACCGAGAAGTTCAACACAGCAAAGACCAAAAAAATAAAACAATTTTTGGGAAACAAAAACGACAAAAAAATTATTAAATCTCAAAAACACAAAAAAAAACTGATTTGACAAACAAAATAACCAGTCTGACACTATACTGTACATTCTAAAAAAAAAAAATCAGTTTGACAAACAAATTATCAGACTATAAACCAAATAAAAAAACTAATATAACAAAATAACAAATTTGACAGACAATTCAAGCAAAATAACCGGTCTGACAAACAAAATAACTTCTAAAACAAAATATCAAATCTGACAAAATACGTTCTAAAACAAAATATCCAGTTTGGCAAAAAACAAACAAACAGACTATAAACTAAATAACAAATTAATATAACAAAAAAATAATAATAATTTGACAAAAAATAAATCAAACAAAATAACCAGTCTGACAAACAAAATAACAACTTCTAAAACAAAATATAAAATCTGACAAAAGAAATGCTAAAACAGAATAACCAGTTTGGCAAACAAAATGGTCCGTGTACCTTCCGATTATTTTTGGATTTTTGTTTAGTTTGGAAATGATCATTCTTGCACTTTCGTTTGGTGTTGTTGCCTTTGGCACAGACTTTACACACTTCTCCTCTGGAGTTTTAGTGCATTCACTAATGAGTCAGTACTAGCCTACATGCTACTGTTTTTTCATTCTTCTTTCATTGTTTTTTGTGTTTTAGAGAAACCAAGGGGAATCCAAGAGAAGCCTGGCTCACACCGTGGTGTTGAATCCAAAGCGGAGAGGATTGTCTCTCTGTTGAATCCTCTCTTCGCTGGGACTATTCTGCTCTGGTTGTGTGAGTGGTGATTGTGGGTAGTTAAGCAGTGTGTGCTTTAAAAGCAGAGCTAAGGTGAGCGTTTACTTTGCAATATATGACTGAGTCAACCTGGAAACAAAATCAGTTTTTAATTAGAATTGTTTCCTACTGGACCAGAGTAAGAACCACAAAATTACATTTTCATGTACAGCAGTTCATCAAGATGTAATTTTGGTAAACATTTAGACGCACACACACATATCTGACATGTTACAGATCTTACTCTGGGCAGATGGACTGCACTTTATATCCGCCATTCAGCTAGAAATGCGGCTTTCCGGGAACATTTCCAGTGGACAAAACCGTTCATTCACATAAATTAAAACATGGCATCTACCCTGACGAGGTCTATCGTTTCCGTTTTTCAATAATCTTGAAGATTTGATGTGATACAGTGCTTTTGTTGTGCGATACTAGTCGAGTTGTTTACTAAATTATTTACAGGTTGTACTACTACTGAACTACTACTGTTTACATCAATTTTGTTGCACTAGCTTTATGTATTTATTTATTTATTTAATTTAAAATAAGCTAATTTATTGCACCTATTTAATTGATTTGATGTATAAAATGTATTTAACTTATTCAAACATTTGTCCTGTAAACCTGTCAAAACTTAAGCAGTAAAACAATGTGCTGCCTGGAATAAGTGCAAGTGAATGTGTTCGGGTATCTTCTGTCTGTTGGTGTTGTTTTTTACTAGTTTTGACTAAATGAAACTGCATAATATGTAGAAGGAAATCCAAGGCACTCTTCTTGGGAAGAATTCAAAAAAGTAGTTCAAAAAAGTGTGTGACGGTGCTCTTTGGGGTCGGGAATTCAATAACATGTAGTAGAAGGAAATCCAAGGCACTCTTCTTGGGAATATAATAAAAAGCCTTTATTTGACTGGCTATTTTATAATAGAAAATTTAAAAGACATGGGAAAAAAACCAACCCGAACTCACGACCAATTCGTCCGAATTTGACGAGTGATTAAAAGATGGCTAATTCGTAACAATTCGTACGACCTCACTCGTACGAATTAGTACGATTTTTGCTAAAACGTACATATTTGACGAGTTGCCCAATTCGTATGAATTCGTACGAATGACCTACCCCTGACCCCGCCCCTAAACCTACCCATCACGTGGGTTTAGACAAATCGTACAAATTCGTACGAATGACCTACCCCTGACCTCACCCCTAAACCTACCCATCACGTGGGTTTAGACAAATCGTACAAATTACGTACGAATTAGCCATCTTTTAATCACTCGTCAAATTCGGACGAATTGGTCGTGAGATAGCGTTGGAAAAAACAACCCACACGTAGCGGCACAAACAGCCTTCTTCAGGGTTGTTGTTTTGGAGGAAATTGTTTGATTGAAAAACATACCCTGAAGAAGGCTGTTTGTGCCGCTACGCGTGGGTTGTTTTTTCCCCATGTCTTTTAAATTTTCTATTATGAAATAGCCAGTCAAATAAAGGCTTTTTATTAATTCCCAAGAAGAGTGCCTTGGATTTCCTTCTACTACATGTTATTGAATTCCCGACCCCAAAGAGCACCGTCATACACTTTTTTGAACTACTTTTTTGAACTCCTTGAGCACCCTGGACACTTTTTTTCCTTTTCCTGAAACTGCATAATGTTTGACTACTAAGCATTTCCAACAAAACTAAAGGTGGGATCAAGAGTGCATTCTGACCAAGAGAACTGTCAATGATATAAGAAGAGGCCGTCTCAATGACATGTAAAGGGACCAATCAGTTTGTTGTGTTTTACATTCCACTTAGAGGTGGGTTGATCTGAAATAGATGATGTCACAATATTAGGCACATGTTTTGATGGTACCATGTGAAACCTCCATTTATTTAGTGGACCAGTTCTGTAACTCTTTAATGTCTTGTGTTCAGGAATAAATGACCCATTTCATTTCATTCTCCTTATTTCATTTCTTCTTCCACCTGCAGTATCATCCTCCATCAGTCTGCATGTTCCACAACAGAAATGGTCCAATAATAGGGGATGCAGTATCTTCAGATGTCAGTATGGCGGCTGATCTTATTTTTTTCTAAGCCACTGACATGTTCTTATATGTTTTAATGTATTTGTAGAAAACTACTACTCCTGTCTTAGTGCACCTTCTATATATGTATGGATCATAAATCACTTCTTGATATAGTGCTATTTGGTATTTTGTGACAAACATAGTGTCAGTTTAATTTAATTTGCAATGTAAAATAAATTCACCTTTATTAGAAATCATGATATTGTACATAACTGATAATTTTAAAGAACATCACGATTAGTTTATAATTCAAAGTCATTACACCCCCCCCCCCAACCCCCCCACAAAAAAATTTATTTTATTTTTTTGCATTATATATATTTTACCTTTATGATATCGTCACTGCTAAAACACTGCTATTGTGCTCATTATTCCATCCCAAATGGACAACTTTGTCGTCATACGTGGAAAAACCCAAAGGAAAAACGTTTCTGTTTTTAGTACATTGTTTAGTACGTTAATTTACCGATACAATAAAGATTGTCCAGTTTATTATAGGGTTAATATAATACGGTTTTATTTGACAGAAATGACAATGACACTGACAGTGTTAGAAGTCTCATCCATATACAAACATTGATGAACGCCAAGTTGTGCATGATAAAAATGATTGAAATCTATATTATGATATATGTCAAATAATTTTGGTTCAAATGCACTGAGAATAGTGGAAACACTAAAAATAAAGATTATATTTTAATATGCCTTGAAAAGCCATGCCTTGCCTATAAATGTAGAGGGAGTCACGCGAGAAGGCAGTGCCTTTAACATTTACTTCATTCACCTTTAACACTATCAGTTCAGTTCTGATCAGAATCAGATTAAAATACAGAGGACCAACATGTTACTTTCTGAAATGTATGTAAAAGGGATGACAATACTTAATGTGCAGATACTTGAAAAATGTACTTAAGTACAGTAACTGAGCTAAACTATTTCCAACATGGGCTGATTGAAGAGATCTGAACTCTACACTAAAAAATAAAATATAAGGAAAAACTGATAAACAAAGACACAATTGATGTCAGTCCTCCATGTAGTCCTCCACGGTTCCCTCTTCCTACTGGTCTATCTGTGAGACAAACAACAACGGTAAAGTTTGTAACATTAGTTTGACCAGTCACTAACTTAATTCATAATTTCAGTTTTTCCAATGAAAATCTTCAAATTATACACACCTTTGAGATTAACCTTTATGTTAAATAGATTTTGAAATGGCCCTGTGATGATACAGATGAACGTCCTCCTTGCATCAGTTTTTTGAAGAGCGTTGAGTTTGATGGAGACATTGCCTTTCTTTTGCTCATCGGGGAATGCTTCAACTCTGTTCTTGTACTCTGGAGCTTCAGCTGTTTTGTTGACAAATATGTCAAACACATTCTTGTCTTTATCGTCTCTCCAGTGTACAACAGCACCTTTAAGCTCACTTTCAGGGATAGAACAAGGCAAGAGAACTGAGTCTCCAATAAAACCCCAAACTGTGACCACTGAAGAACAGAAGGAACCTAAAAAAAAAAAAAAACACCTCACTGTTTGGCTTCTGCATGTGACATGAAGGTTCATTTCAAATTATTAATCTCTCACCTGTGATATACAGCAGAAACACAGAAAAAAATATGTTCCACCTGAAGAAACAGAAGATAAAAAGATATCAACAGTGTGCTAACCTATACTTTTTGCCTTCATATTTGAGAAATATCTTCTCCCACACCTTCTCTCCAATATTCACCATCATCGTAAAGGAACTGGATCTATCTACATAGTCAACACTGAATCATGAACTTCTCTCCATTCAGTAACACTCTTCTGTGACGTTCTAAATACTGTATATCTCTTTGTGTTTTGATCAAAGTTTGATCAACATCACCATCTTTTCTTTCACAAAGCAACACGTGTTGATTAACAGCATAGCTTGTCTAGCACCGTAGTTTGAATAAAGCACGTGAACTAACACAGACCCAATATGAGCTTTTTACTTAAAATCTACTAATCAGAAATTAATTAGTAAAAGCATAGTAAAACAAGTAGCAATTTATTTGATCCACAGCCCTAATTATGGCGTTCTCTGTCTCTGGCCTAACCTAACGCTAGACCGAACAACCACATCAAACTTTCTAAACTGTCTATTTTCTAAAAACTGTTGTAACTATCGACTTGCACTGAATATTAATCTCATATATATCTGTAATGAATATAATTTGTGCTATTTCTGGTCAAAAAAATTATATTTTTAAAAACATTGCATTTCAAATTTCTCAAAATTCACTAAAACATACCTGTGTCCCATGGTGTTTTGGTTTTATATAGTAATCAGACAAATTAAAATGTATAGAAATGTAAATCTAATACTAAATTAAAGTAACTATCCGAGTAAGGGCCACATGCGGTAGGAACGTGGCAGGGAAAAATGGCGCAAGCGTATATGCAATATACCGGAAAACGTCACATTGCATATACGCATGCGCTCTTTTTTTTATTTTTTTTTACCAAAAAAATTGAGTAAATCATGGTTAAACTTTTTAGAGTGTGGCTAAAGATAAAAGTATCAGCTAATTTGATCTTTTTTTACTAGTTAGAAATATATTTGGTTTACCATTAATACCCTATTGTTTTTTTTTTATTATTATTATTAGGGCCCAAGCCTTGAAAAGGCGAAGGCCCTATTGTTTTCCTTAGGATTATTATTATTATTATTATTATTATTATTAGGGCCCAAGCCTTGAAAAGGCGAAGGCCCTATTGTTTTCCTTAGGATTATTAGGGCCCAAGCCTTGAAAAGGCGAAGGCCCTATTGTTTTCCTTAGGATTATTATTATTATTATTATTATTATTATTATTATTATTATTATTATTATTTTATCGACTATTCGGGCACTTTTGGGGCTCTTAACGTGCACGAAAACTCTTGAAACTTTGCACACATGTCAGAACCCGCGGCCATCAGGGCCGGGCTGAAGCTGGTACCCGGGCGTG